GTTGCCTGGCCCTTGGCTTCTGTCGTTACAAGTTTGCCAGTGGCGTTGTTTAAAAAAATATGGATTCGCTTGTCCACAGCATATCTTGTGAATGTCCCGCCACATCCAGATGGGCTTTCCTCGCTATAGTCAGGCTATAACCAATGGCTCAAGAACGGTAATGATTATTATAAAGAGTATCTCACCTTCTAGTTCAGGGGTAGTTTGAGGAAAGTTATTTGTTGCATAATACTACCGATTGATATGAGCAGTCAAAAATCACTCACATCAAACAAAAATGTATTGGTTAATAGATTGAAGCGATCTAAACACCACAGAGGTAAGTGTATCCCATCCCCCTATTCCACTTCCTCCCTTGATCCCCCCCCCCAAAAAAAATATATGTTGGTTTCTCACCTCAAACTGCATATAATTTTCAAGTGACGAATTCCAGAGGTAGTTTTGTTCAACAATCAACTTCGACTTCAGCCTATCAGTTTTAAGTTTCTAAGAAAATATTCACTAAGCAGACAAAACATCCTGTTCAAAACCTACTCTTTCTTAATAAATACTCTTTTCTCTAGGTCATGAGAGAAGGCTATCAAGAATTAACTGAATCACCGGTCGACGGGAGTTATATTCGTGGTTTGTTCTTAGAAGGAGCTGGCTGGGACTCTACACGTAATATGCTGTGTGAATCTAGACCAAAAGAATTATTTGTCAACATGCCAGTTATTTGGCTTATACCAACAGCTAATCGTAAACCACCAACTCATGGTGTCTACGATTGTCCAGTTTACAAAACGCTTACTCGTGCTGGTAATGATGGTGTCTTATTTAACCGATTATTTTGTTTTTAATACAAATTAGTAGCATTTACAAATTAGCTGAATTACAACAACATCTAAGGTGTAAGAGATTAAGTTTCAAAGAATAAGAATTTAAGCAAACATTACAGTTGGAATATGTAAAATTCCATTCTGGAGTAATATCACAATGAAAGATAGCAAAAGTTCTTTTATCATTATTGGAAGGTCTTTTATTAATATCACTGAATCAGATTAGTAAAGTGTGTGTGGTTAGTTAGTGATGTAAAGATTATATTACAGTATGGACAAATCACCGACACAAAGCATTTGTCAGATTAGTTAGTGCAGTTTACTTTTGTCTATATGATTCTCATATATTTCCACAGTTCAATACGGCATCAGCAACAGAATACGATATACCTATTTGAACATTCTGTTTGTTGCTAGAGTTAGAATAGAATATTATTCTCACAGGTCAATACTGAGTTAGCAACAGAGTACTATGCATATTTGAACATTGTATTTCATGTCGTTTAATGTAAACCAAAATCACACGCTCAGTGACTGCAAATATATAAACAACGTTTTGATTAATGAAAAATATACCTTGGCTTCCGTATCTTGCCTTCTGCTGTTACAAGGTTATTACTGATAAAGCGTAATATTCCACTGACAACCAGTTCAAAGTCAATAACACCGTTGTGTTTCACCTGGTCTATTGAAAAATAAATTCAGAGATGTTTGTAGAGAAAAATTAGGCACACTGGAAGCTGGTAGCACACACTACTGATAAGAATTGGTAAGCAGTATACATTGTGATATTTTCAACACGAGTTGCATGAAGAGACGAGCAAGTGATAATAGTTCAGAGACGAGAAACAGAGAACTTCAGTCATTAATGTGGAAAGCAATAAAATGTGGAGGAAGAAGAAGTCGAATAAAGTGCAGGTGGAAGAGGAGAACGAATACTTTGTCAGTATTATTAAGTGGAATCAACTAGTCCTTTTATATAACTCCTTCCCGAGAATATCGCAATGTACACTATTTAGAAAACACATTCAAGTGAACACTATTGTTTTCAATTAAATCTCATCAGGCTTAACTCTAATATACATAACTTTACAAAGAAAAATTCATATATAAACCGATCACTATGTTTTGTGAATTGGATAATAAGATTGTGCATTTAATCATAATAATAATGATTCTATCAATAACAAGGATGAAAAAGTGGGGCGATCTGGAGACGTCGTCAGTCGATTAAGTCCTAACAGGTCAAGGGAGGGTTAATGACTGTACGAATTTCTTTTGAATGAGCATAGTTTAGACCTAACAGTTCGAATGCCTATCGCCTCAGCTGTGTGCAGTAGACGAACACGGAGTCTGTTGGAAAGATTCGGTGGGATACGACGAATTACCTTGGAAGCTCTCGTTTTCTCCACTACACGACCACTATCAACTAAATGTGATAAAATGGAGCTGCCGATTGCTTTTGTCTGTTCTTTGCCAGACCACGATGGAAGATGTTCAGTAACACGTTGACTAAGCTGTCTAGTAGTACGCCCAACAAAAGTGTCACCGCAGGTGCAGTTGATTTGATAAATCCAAACAGATGTGGCAAAACTATCTAGCCTTGCATCCTTTGTGATTCACAATCGTTCGTCGACTAGAGAATGACAAACATAGGTTTGCTGGTTAAAAATTCCTTGATATACCACTTGAAGGTCTCTAGAATAAACTCTCACTTAACAAGTCACCATTAAATTGTAACTTTATAAATAGAGGTTTTTCGCGTGCAGTCATAGTGTCACGCTTTCTCTGCAACGTTTTCGTATGTTTCTTTATGAAACTAATCGGATAGCGTGTTTCCATCATGGAATCATGAACTATTTATAAACTTTCACACGTAGGTAGGTAAAGCACCAAATTAGATGTAATAGACAGATGAAATTGTTCTGCCTGTTAACTTTGTAATAACTGGTTACCTATCGTGTGTATTTATTTTATTTTTTTTGCTTTTTCTCAAAGGTACTCTTTCTACTACTGGTCATTCAACTAACTTTGTATTCTCTATCGAAGTTCCAACTGATCAACAACAGAAACACTGGATTCAACGTGGGGTAGCCTTATTATGCGCGTTGAATTATTAAAAACCCCAGGCTACGAATTAATCACAAAACAAAAGTTTGCTGATAGTCTCTTCATAGTGCATACAAAATCACCAGTAAAATACCCTTTCCTATAAAATATTCATCATCCCATCACCAACACATTATGTAACGAAAGAAAGAGAGAGAGAGAGACGAAACCGTGATTGTTTTATTTTGGTATACACCAGTTAAAGACCTATGAAGATTGTAGAATACACATAAATATCTTTGTGTTGTGCAATCGGTTGCACTAAGACACATGTACACACACACATACAAACACACGCATAGGCACAAAAACCTATTTTACCATCAACGCATTAATAATCAGATACATTTAATTAATTAATTACTTAATTGCCTACTTTACACAAAATAACGCCTAATAAATGCATTGTACAAATATTGTACTCCACAGTGTTGATGATACAAAAAAAGAGAATGGCTCAATCATCCCGGAACAAAACAAAAGTATAAATAAATAAGTACATAATGATAGTAATAATAATAATTTGAAGGAGAGTCAATTTCAAGCACAATTTGTATGTAATAATACGAAATACATGAATAAATACAATTAATTATTAAATAAGTATGTGTAATAAAAACGACAAAACAATGATAATAATAATAAATATATATAAATATCTGAGTTTTCAACTATTGTCTTGTCTCTTATGCTCACCTGCCCCACACACTTAAACAAACATATTCACAAAACACGCGGTAGACTAATCTTTGAACTGTGAAACTGATTACCACTTAGTATTGAATGATAGCATGGAGTCTTGCTTTTTTCCTCTGAGTTAGAGTCCACCTCACACTAAACTCACAGATACATGCACACTCAGTTTAATGATGAAATTTACAATTGAAACAAGATGGATTATGCGTCTTTTCTAAGGTTTGCTTATAAAAACAAGGTGGACAGATAGATTATTAAAGAATAATGAAAAACACTATTCGCATCGATTGGTAATTATCAATTCAAGATATAATTATGCACTGCTGACACTTATAAAGCTGTTGATCTTAATTGTATTTCTTTTAAACCATCTGCAAGCTGAACACGTTGTTCCATTGGCCATTGAGGATACCAGTTGCGAAATAAGCGCAGTTGACATTCGAATATAGCACAGGAATTCGACCCACCAGTAGATGGTGCATAATTGATTTGTAGATTGGAATTCATCAGGTGTGCTAAGAATGTATCCGTCATTTGATCGCTGACATTATCATTATAATCGTTTGAATCAGTTTCTCCTGTAGTAGTTATTGGTTGTTGTTCAGTAGATAAGTAGCAATCGATTCCTTCCAGGCAACTCAATGTGGAGAGGAATAACTGACGTTCTAGATTATTCCATTCAGAAAACCAGTGAATAACCATGGGAACAGCTTGAACTGGAGGTATTTGTACATTCATAGAAGAAATGATATTCCAAGAAATTTTCATACACTATAATATTTATTGTGTTGTTGTTAGCGTTAGATAGGTAGAAAAATCGGGGAAAATTGAAAACTAGTTATAGACAATATAACACTAAATATTTTTTGTTGGTATTCATCTTAATAATAATAATAAATAATAACAAGAGCGCCTAAGGACCTAGAGGGGGAGAATTAAGAGGACATTAAAAAAAACACAGCGGGAATAGCATTGTAAGTTGTCGATACTTTAATTAAATTTTAATTAGTCTTCCTTCGCTCCACTAGTTCCCTATCCTAGTAAATTACGCAGATAGTTATAATGCATAGTTATGTTCACCTGACTGAATTATCGTTCATTTAAAACAAGCTTGGTACTTTATGGGCCCCAAGAGATGCACTGGGACACTGTCTGGAAGCCCAGTGGTTATCTTAAGAGGCCACACGCCCTCCGCCTTTTAACTTAAAGTTTGGTCCACAAGGCAGTGAGGCAGCTACGTTCCCACGACTACCAGTAGCCAAAACAAGCTAATACGCCATACATACGGATTGCGGAGATCATGTGCACCATAGGTTTGCAATCAGGGTTTTTCAGCTCCCCACCCCCCCCCCCAAAAAATGTCCATCAGTTCGGTTATAAGCGCCAGACGTTTACATTCACCCGTGCCGCATGAAGGCAGTGGTATGGCTACATGAAGGCATTTCGCGAGGAAGACCGACCCATCCTCTGTCGTACCAGGTTGTTCATGAGCGGTTATGCTGCTGAACGAATCAAAAAACAGGAAGTTGAAGTGTTGGTCGACTGGACCCATGCAGCATCGTCACAAAAAAGTGACGAAGTTTGAAAATGTACCAAAAGATAAGAGTCTGCTTAACTCAATACATACTACCTACACTAGAGAAAAATTGTAGGGAATAAATGCGTTTTCATCTGTCTCTAACAAAGTCTCCCAATTGCTTGCTGATTTTTCTTACTTCAAGAAACATATGTGCACACAATTCTGATTACTACTTAAGTCCCATTAATTATTTAGGCTCAAGCACCAGCGTAATTTTGATTTTGTAGTTTGTGTAAAAGCCAATGTTTTCGTCTGCTGTTATTACTAATACTACTACTACTACTACTACTAGTAGTAGTACTACAACAACTACTAATTATGATAATAACAAAAACGAGATACACATAAACAAGAGGATTTCGTAGTCACATACCGTTATAGACTCATTTTCTTACAGAGAGGACAAATATAAAATTGCTAAAGACTAGCGAGATTAGTCCAGTGTACAACAGTTGTGTCAAAGACAGTCCTCCACACTATAACGATACAAAACAAAAAACAACAGGAGAACAATAGAGTGAATAACAACCATTAAAAGAGATAGATACAAAAGAAGCATCAGGTATGGATGGACAACAAACAGCATGCTGTGCTTAGCAATGATAAGTTGGCACTACTATCTATTGCCACCTTCGATACGATACGATGCGCTATGTGGTAGGTACTCTGTGAGTTGAAGAAAACAAATGTTTCTGTGAAATAATATCACGTTTATTTAGATTGGTTTTAACAATACCTGCTTGAATGGTGGATACAGTAATGATTCTCGTTGTGATGAATAGCACTCTAGCCAATAGTTAAAGAATATTAACAAAAATGATATTAAGAAGCACAGCCAATCACTAGCTTTAATATACAAAACAATACAATACTGTTAAGTACACAATTGAAGTTTTAAGAAAGTATCCAATATGGAAAACAGTCGCAAATGAATATTACACGATATGGTAATGATACAGACAGTAGTAATAGAGAGTATTTGAAAGAATGTCGGTGTATGAGAAAAAATTACAGGTGTTGGAACTGCTGCATGTATGCTGAGTGCGTGCATGCATGCGTGTGTACGTAAGTATGTATGTATTGGTGCGTTTGCAAAAAAATAAACAGTACTCAAAAATAAGTTAGTGTAAATAGGAGAAAAAGAAAGGCATAGGATTATTCTAGCAAAACGTTGCTTCTCTATTTAAAACAAAAAATATTAGCAGAAATCATCTTCAATGAAATAATGAAAAAAAATCTAAGTTAGTCACCTCCTGAATTAATTCACAATTTGAGATATTAAAAAAAACCACAACTAGAAACTAAAATAAAAAAAAAAGAGATCGCCATCAAAATTGAATTGTGAATTGTAAACCTTCTCGAAGAATTTGATCATAACACGCTTGTAGTGTAGTCATTAGATAGGGTAGGAGACCAGTAAGCGATAAGCGTTCCGGTGCCAGTTGTTCAATATACGCTAGTTCAGCGCCCAGGTACATAACACCAGCCCGGATGACAACAAACTGAATAATCGGCAATAATTGATCAAGTCCCGGCAAGTGAGACAAAGTATCCACTGAGCATATTGATGGATTTCTACAATTGCCCATCTCATCTAGCGATGTTCGAACATGGTTGCGGCAAGGCTTACTTTTACTGATAATCTGTTGTTGTTGTTGTTGTTAGCCAACACACGCACACATGTGATTGGGTAGAATAAAAAAAAAGAGGAATAAAGCAAAATAAGAATAATTGTGTAAACAAAACGCGTCACGTGCATACTATTTGTTAACAAATACACGAAATAATTAATAATACGAACAGAAAATCTACTGCTGATCAGAACAGTGTGTCGTTTGTACGACAGCACTATCTCGAAAACACATACTACTTTTCAATTGAAATGAAAATCAACTGTAGAAAAACAACAGTGATTCAATTGACAGGAAAGCAATAATAATTAAATTCAATGAAGTACATTCTGCTATGAAATGCACGTGTGAAGGAATTTATGCGTCAACAAAATACAATTAATATTGTTATAAACTTAACTAACCAATTACTAAATACTCTATAATATCCCCTTCATGTCTACTAACATGATCTATATTTTCATTCGAGTTCTAAGTGGAGCATAAGGCTTTAAACGTTTGAAGTCTCAGGATTGGTGTTATTATTTTACGGAGTCTCTCGCCTAACTTCCGTTCTTTACCGAGCTTACTACCTCTCTAGGTAGTAAACTGGGTGAGATTTAGGACAGCGTCGGTCGAGCATCGAACCTGGAGCATATGTGTGGTTATCAATAATCCCACCATTGAACCAACAACGACACATGTTATGGTCCATAAACACACGGAAATCTGACTGACAGAGTGGTTTCAAGGTAGAACTTTGCACGGATGTACAGCAGTTAGAGTTGTCACACTTCACTAAGCACACAAAGCAAGAGAAGAAAGTAAAAAAGATATTCAAAACAGAGATAATAAATAGAAATATGAGGCAAAAAGAACAGTGCTACGGGAGAACAAGAACACAGGTAAATAATAACAATAGAAGATGATCACCTATTGTTTCCTTACGGTTCCTTCAACTCTACAGTACCGCTATCATAGATTCAAGATACATTGTAAAAAGCAATATGCAGCCATTTTTTTCCAGATTACTATCGAAACTAACTACCGATTGATTATTAAGAAACAATCCAGCTTTCAAAATAATAATGGATTTAAGATATATTGGTTGTTTTTTGCAATTTCAACAACTGGTTCACACTTTGGGTTAACTTAAAAGACGAAGAGAGGTGTTTGTTCATGTGAGTACAGCCACTCCTAAATTTACGATTAAAAACCTAGATGATTGGGATAAGTTACCAAGTATGGATGTTTCCCACTTCTGTACTGCTTTCGATTACAAATTAGTCTGCACCGAATCAAAATAATAAACAAGCATGTATACTACTTTTAACTGGAGGTCAAGTATTTACTAAGAGAGTTGAAAAAATACTGAAAAAGATGATATTGAGATTTAAACTGAATGAACTTGGTACCACATCAAGAAGTTTCCTGCAGAAACCAATATGAAGATACTTGACTACCTGCACTTGACTGCTGAGGCCAATGGGGTTTTTTCTCTCTCTCTCTCTCTCTCTCTCTATATATATATATATATATATATATATATATATATATATATAGTTTTATTCAAACTGGGCTATATGAAGACATCGCTTTGGCAGGCAGACAACTTGAAGAGGAGCAAATGAATATTTTCTAAGTTCAAAAAACAAATAGCTAAAGTTGATTGAAAGTAATTTTTTTCCTTCTTCATATCCATGTTTGTTCACTGTAGCATGACTTCATTTTTGTGTGATTTCGATAGAGTGAAACAATGGAGTTCTGTGCAAGATGCTTTGCTGATTCATTCATCTATCATTATAAGAGTAGTGTAACTCAGTGCGAACGCCAGTCTCAACGACAAACCCTTCAAATCTATACTCCTATCTGTTTTTTTTGGGTATTTTTGGGGAATACACCCCAAGAACGAATATTCCGACTAAATGAATTAATCGCTCCTAGGCCGGTTTCTATACTAGTTGACTTGTACACACTCATGACCAGTAATGCGTGAGACTGTATGGAAGATAGGAAGGCAGTGTTAGTACAAATTGTAAAACAGGTTGACAACGAATTCACTCAACTAAAATGACAACAATCAAAACAGACAAAAACTTGTACTACCTGATTGTGAAAGTCCTTTTGTAGTCCATATTTTTTAATAACTTTTCGTTAAAAACAAAGGGTAAATATAGGAAGACTGTTTCAAAGATTTTACGAGTAACATGACGAAAATAAACTAGGGAAAAAGGTCTACAATAACACAGGACCGCATTAGTTATTTATGTAGCTGCAACAAGTGGTTAGTGGATCTGATGTAATTAAACTAATTTAGGGTCAGCTGGCTAATCGCTATTTTTACGCACGGCTTATGTGCTTGAAATGCAAATAGGTCATCCTGCTCTAAACAAGGAAGGAATTGACATAAATGTTATCGGAAAGAAAACATCCAAAAACGAGACTTAACGTTCAACACTTTGTTGTCATTACCGTAGATTTTAAGGAGTATGTAGTCTATGCAGTCTATCTTTTGACTTATTTCTGAAACTAGAGAATAAGAAAGATGTTCGGCGCATTTTTTTAGTTGCAAGGGAAAACTCAATTAATAGGCATCTACGTCGATAGAACATTGACAGAATTCTTGTCAACAACACACACACACACACACAAGTGGTTCGGACTGAACCTTCGACCGACGGACGCATTCTTAAGTATCGCTTAACCACCGGTAAAGAGAGAAGGCTGTGGGTTAGGCGTGAGACTAGTGATCCCATCCTGTTGTAAAAGGACAACAACACCACCGCTACTGAATTTTCAAAATGCGAAGCCCAAATATTCCACTCGGTATGCATTATATTACTATTATCACTTCTTTGGGTTCCGAGTGTAACGTAGGGCTTCCAACAAAACATCTTCACTTTGTTCTATTTTCTGCTGTCTTTATCAGCTGACTGACCCCACACTTGCTCATAATCTCTCATCTCCTCCTCCAACTCACACGATCTTCTTTATGTCACCCTCGCGGCGACGACCAACTCGTCGTCTCCTATTGGGATTCCACTCAAGCAGTGGCCTGGCGCGCGATGTCATTCAACGGTCTCCTAAACGTATGCCCGATCTATCTCCTCCTACATATTTGTTGGGCGATCGGCTCTTGGTTGGTTTGTTTCACTGACGAGTTTTTTGTTGCTAATTCTTTCTGGCCGGCTGGCCATTTGATCATAAGTATGAAGCGAAGGAATGCATACAGAATGGACAAAAAAAGCAAGCGTTTAATATACACAATAACTTACCTGATCCACAGTAGCGAATGCCTGATAAATAATTAGAAGCTTTTCAGTTGGAGTAGTTTTATCACTGTGAGAAGAAAAACATAACAGTTTAAGTTGAACTTCAATTCTACAGAAGAAAACAAACATGGTTTATGATTTTTTTTAAGAAAAAAGAGCGGTATTAAAACAGGTGATTCATGAAAAAAGCAAATTTGGAAAACTCTTGTATTCACAGACATTTGACTGGAGTCTTGCCTGAACAGAATATGTAATTACTTTTCATATTAGTGTAAGCATCTTTCAAATTTGAGTACTAGGACAGTGTTGTTTTAAAAAAAAATTCAAACAGAACATGTCACGGTTTACTGGAAATGCCAAACTGAGTTCATCGGATTCTACTAATGGCAGAAACAGATGAACAATCGAGAAACACATTATTTAAAAACACCTTAAAATAGGTGTGTACACCTCTTTTCAACCCATCATCATTTATGAAACCTGTTTTAGGGGGAGACGGGTTATATACTAAAGTCTGTGGAAGCCTGAGTAATTTAAGAATTTTCAGCCACCGTTTTACGTGTTCACGAACAATTTGTCATCATACTAAACCTTCTTTGATAAATCCAGTTGTACAACCAAAATCGATGCATTATCATCGTCAAATATCTTTTTACTTTGGTAATCTTCACTGTTATTTTGACCTTCAATATAACCTTTTAATTTGACTTATGTTCAGTGTCTCGTCTGTTAACGCTTCATTATATTATGCATATGTGGGTGGATGTCTGCGTGTGTGTGTGTGATCCAATTATTTGAAATGTGTTGCGCAGATATATTACACAACTCAGACAATTATATGTCGCCAAACGAAACTAAATTCTTCCAAACAACCGAAGTGATTGTAGTAAAATGATGAACTGGACAAGCGGGCAGGGTGTCAATGCTCACTCATTTGGTAGATAGTTAGATTAGTGGTCCGGATACCAATCCAGGTTTTCACATCACCTTCAATAACTACCCAGTACATGCTTTACGAGCTCTCCTTGTAACCGGTAGTTCCCCAGTGGGTGCGCACTACTGATGAATAGTAATCTCAAGGTAGGACGAAACAGTTGTCCCGTAGTCCCAGGTTTCCCAATGATTGTCTAACTGATGTTAACTCGTAATCAAACATGAAAAAAACACTAAGCATACACACACTACAAAGAAGGGGACTAACGTTACAGCAATAAGAGAAACAAATAACTCGCGTTTACGTTGACAACAGCCACGATTACAAATGGGTCTATTAGCAATTTCAAGAGCATAATCGACAAATATCTGAAACTGTCGTCCCACCACCTCGTAGATTCTGTTATGCAATAACAATTTCATTCATATTTTATTTGTACGAAAATAAAGTTGTTAGCTGGGCCGCACACAAGGTAAGGGTCACATGACCAGTGGCAATCAATAAAGAGCACCACTACTAAAGTGACCTTGATCCGATAGTAAAAAAATAGTGTGATTTACATTTCATATGATCGATTCATTTTGGTTTCATAGTCAGATTATCATTCATTATAAGCAACTCGTAGTGTTCTCTTGCATACATCATCTAGGAACGTTATAATGTATGTAGTCACTAGGATGAGTTTGAAAAACCCACCTCTCCCTCTCTCTCCCATGTAATAAGCCAATAACAGTAACAGTACTAGATTTTCCATTATGGATAAGACTTCATTCTGACAAATCACACAGTGTTGTACAGTAATATTAACTGATGACGTTTCGAACACAAACTATTGCCACTCATAATCATATCAAGTCACTCACTCACACAACTTCTTCCTTCATTTATATACATGTGTGGAATTGACTAGATATTTAAATAAAAATCAATATGATATGATTATGAGCAATAGTTTGTGCTCGAAACGTCATCAGTTAATATTACTGTACAACACTGTGTGATTTATCAAAATAAAATCTTATCCATAATGGAGTTATACTCTACCACAGTGCCCAAGTTTTATACTTATATCAAGAGTGCCTTAAAGTTCCATGCTGAGAATGATGTCACAGTTGGAGACTTTCTTTACGAGATAGATATCCGGGAGATGAAGGAGAAGAACGAACCCAAGTGTGCAGTATTCCTAAGTTATGAATTATTCCCGACTGTTGCTTCGTTATTACTATTCCTTTTGTCTCATGTCTCTGTTTACTGTCTCTATTTTGCATTTCTTTTCACTTTCTTCTCTTGCTTTGTGTGCTACATGGAGTGTGACGACTTGAACTGCTGCACATCGGTGCAAAGTTCTATGTGGAAAGCAGACAGACGTGATATGTGTTGAGTATTGTTGTATGCAGAGACTAATCGGAGAATGTGATTGACCTAATTGATGTCTTGCTTACTGTCATTTAAGTGAACATGTTAGCCACTAAGCGAGTGCTATGCTGTTTCAATCAGGCAGATCAGACAACGATTTGGGTAGGCATCTTACCAACGTTTGCAGCACACAAATAGTGGGACAGGTAGACAAGCACTCTGGAAATGGTGTAAGCTCTCACACTTTTCGATTTTGATTGTGACCGCTGTTTGGACTTGTGGGCTGGTCAGCCGCTGTTTGCCAAGGCCTGCTCCTTCCACTGCTTAAAATTGGCTGATAGGAGTAGGAGTTTCAGGGGTTTGTCACAACTGAAGTGTCAGACACGTGGAGACAGATGCGAGATAGAATCGTGTCACATAGGAAAGATAGATTTGAGGTCAGTGAGATTGAATTCGCCAACAACTCTATTTTATCAGAGTTGAACGAGGGTGTTTCTAGGCGTAAAGAGGATAGGATGTAAGCCATGTCAGATACTGACCCGGTTCTATCGGTGGTGCCCACAGATATCAACCAAGACTAGTCCGAAGTAAGCAGTCGAATTCATGTAACAGGCGAGTGGGAGAAACAAGTAGTTTATATACATGAGTGCATATTGTGGAGTGCGGTCGAAACAGTGCCTACGAGTCTATGTGAATGGAATAACAATTGTTTACGAAAGACAGTTCACCCTAGGTTTCGAAAAGCTGTATCATCCTTGTGAGAGTAGCATTTCTCAGATGGTCTACTGGTCAACTTAACTGTATCTGATGTGGAGGCGTGCGTAGCGAATATGTGGTCTGCAATAGGGTTAGTAGAGGATGTTGAAGATCAGTAATTGCAGTCCGTTGATTTTCATGTTCACACACAGACATGTGTGTACATAGATCCATCTCGGATTATGTTCTTTGATCTGACAAAGTCCGATAAGGCTGCCTGACATTCGTTGATATCTGTGGATCAGGCGTATATTTGGCAATACAAACACTTGTAGAATGGATTATTTTGTGACGCAGGTTGCCTGTTTTCTGTTGCGATTCAATGAGGATCTGTCGTCTGACTAGGGAGAGTGCCTTAAATATCTAGTCAATTCCACACATGTACATGAATGAAGGAAAAAAGTTGTGTGAGTAACTTGATATGATTATGAGTGGCAATAGTTTGTGCTCGAAACGTCATCAGTTAATATTACTGTATAACACTGTGTGATTGATCAAAATAAAATCCTATCCATAATGGAGTTATACTCTACCACAGTGCCCAAGTTTTATACCTATATCAGTACTAGGTTTTCGCCTGTTGCATCACACACAGACACATACAAACACTACAATACGCTTATGAATATTCACACTTAACATAGAGTTGGATAATATTATAAAAGCAGTTTTTTTAGTGCAGTTGCCGCTGATCTGATACTTTTTATGCAAGCCAGTAGATGGCCAGGATGGTTACTGGTAATGTCATTGACTTCAGCATGGAATGAAGCAGGGTGGAACCTCCAAAGCAGTATGAAAATCCTTTAGACTTGAAATACTTGTCGCTGATGTGTTCCAGTAAGGTTGAAAACCAAGGAAGGCAGACAGAGAGAGACAGAAAGCTTGCTGGTCGAAAGAAGGTTAGTTTTAAATGCATCACGACAGACATAAAATGGAAAATTTCGACAACATGAAAAGCTGAATTTACTAAAAACACCACTGTACATTTATTGTCTCTCTGGCAAGTACATAACCCAGTGTCACTTGACTGCAATGTGATAAATGAAAAATAAGGTAAAGTGGAAATATCAGATATACGTGCTGAAAGAAAATGAACTAGAATGCCTTCCACCAAATAAAGTGGACTAAAAACAAATTTGCACTATCTGCACACAACAAGTAATCTTTTTTTTTGACAAAGCCGCCGAATTTTACAACGACGCTTACAAGAAACATCGAATATACTATTTGCCGGAAATGTGTGTTAGGTAAAATCCAGTTGTTAAGCGTCGAGAATGACAGTTGTTGTTCTTGTCTTCTGGATATTACACACTTCAACTGAATCAAACGCTCTAAAAACATAATAATAATAATAACCATTACTCGGTACTGAGTGCAGAAGTATACGGTTCAGAGATTTGGCACAAGTATTATCAAAACCATTTCCAACAGGTTACACCACATACTTTCATCAGCAACTGTCCCCTTCTCTCGACACTGACTGCACATGAGACAGTCAGCCGAAGACGATAAGAAAGCAGCGAGGAAATTTTCGCAGACAGCCAACCAATGAACAAATTAAAAAAACAGAAGGAAATAAAGGTGAACTAGATATACGCTGAAGAGACCGTTAAGTGGCATCATCATCACACACAATAGACCCTCGAGTAGAACCCCGATGGGAAATGACAAGTTGAGCGTCCAATGGTGAGGATCATGTGACGAGGAACTGAAAGTTTGTGCAGAGTTGTGGCATCATCAGCTGAAAGTGACAGCCGAACGGAATCGAAACGTATTGTTGAAACCTCGTATTCCACTCAGAACTCAAAAGCCAAATAATAATAACTATTAATAATAAGTATAGCAGTGCTGCTTGCTGCTTTAAATGAAATACATTCCCCTTATTAGTTTTCCCTAAAGGACATAGAACTTACCAAATTGTACGAAGAATATCTACAGCTGGATGAAAGGCGGAAAATTGTTCGGATAATGGTGTCTAAAAAAAGAAATAATGACATGACAGCGAATTGTATATTAGTGAGTGAATATATATATATATATATATATATGATGCTCATGACATAATGGGAGCACTAGGGTCATGATAATATCTCCTCCTCCTCTATCCCTCCCTCCCACTACATCATTCTTAGCATGTTCTACTTTGTAATGGGATGCAATGCTGTTTACTAGTGTATACAAACGATATGTAGTGCAGCTTAGTAAGATATGCAACTGCTTGTATTAAGACTGAATGTAACACTGATTGCACGAAAACTGATGGTACCGGAGAGATGTTGACAGTCTAAAGGCTGTTACTAGGCTATCTATATTCAAATACACTGCAAAATAAGCGCATTCAAATTCCAGTCCACTTATCAACCTATGCAGTTGAATAGCTTAGCAACCTGTCGTCTTATTGTCGTCAGTGTAGCCCTATGAAAACTTTGTAGACCGACTAATAATTCGCTTAAACTATGACCGAAGTGATTACAGATATAAACAAGATTAAGAAGATCATAGGTAAGTGTGATATGAAGACAAAGGTCCGTCCACCAGGTCCACAAGAGAAAATGCATGCATGCATGCAACGACAGATTTATAGTTGAACCACAGAAGCACCAGTATCCATCCATTCTACAACGAATATTCCGTTTAACAGACAACAGTCAATCTTTACTTACCGAAATGACTATGGAAAATAATAAAGTCCACACACACACACACACGCACACAAATTAGGCTTTTCAACCTGCTTTTAAAAATATCTACAAGAGAAATAATATGACGCCGACAAACATAATTGCACTATGGACGGCAAGGTGCATGCAAATTGATTGACTCAGCCGTATGAATAATACTCAACCTTTCTCAGGTGGTGAGGATAAATCCATGCCAAATCAATCAGTTCGAAGTGACTCTGTCATTTAAAGAGGAGCGAAAATTCCACTGATGATTACAACGACAATGAAAGTCAACACAACTACTCTTAAGTTGTTATCATAATGAAAAGAGTATGAGTCGAAAGAGTCAACAACAGTAAAAGACAAGACAAAAATCAGCTAAGAAAGGACACTACTAACACTGTATGTGCACCAAAGTGGACACAAACATACAAGTGAATGCAATGCAGTGGCTGAGCTGTTTTTTCAAGGTTATTTAACTAACTTAGCAGGGTCAATTATTCTAACTTTAGATAAATTTTTATGTTCCAATAATCTAGCTAGCTCAGCCATTGCACTGCATTCGCTTGTATGTAATCACACAATAAGGTGGGTGGGACAGGGTGACAGTATTAAAAAGTAATATAGTTAGGGAGAGAGACAGAGAGGTAAATCACTGAAGCTTTGTTTATCGATTGATGAACACCGCACACGTGAATCGGAATGACGCAACGCCGCCATGGCAACAAACAACAAGCGGTAAGTTGGACAGACAAAAAGAGAGAAAATACATATAAGACAAATTGTGAAAACGTGTGACTAAAATTGATATGGTTATGAGCGGCAATAATTTATGCTCGAAACCTTGTCTGTCATCCAGTTGTTAATACTGCATCGCCACTGCGTGATCATCAAAATAAACCTATCTAATATGGAACCATAGACGTTAATTTCAAACGGGATAATGTGAAAAAAAGGCTCAGCAGAGGAAACGAGAAGAATGCCAGAGTGTTCCTGGAAGCTTGGTCGTAAGAGCAATTTACGACAAATAAAATAGACATGTTAATACTGGTAAATTTTACCTATCAATAAAAAGTTAATAAGAAGATAAAATGGTCGAACATCAATCGGGTCAACGGAATGAGAAATATCCACAAAAGTGTAAGAGGAACCAATTACCAGTCAGTGTCATCAGGAGGGATGGATATTTCATTCAAGGGGAACTGCCAAAGCACAATTCACAGTGAAGTTAGAACTGAAGATGTCATCCAAAAGGAGAACTGAAAGTTTCGGCACATTAAACCGTCCAACCTAGAGAACACATATACAAGAATACCAGAAACATCCACCTAAGCTATAAATGCTTCCAATTATGTCGATAAGCACTTATAGATGCCGACATTGTTAATCTAAATTAACTGCCTAACTAATGCTAGAAATACCCCAGTTACGTGCGACATGCCATAAAAGCTGTGAACGTGACAATATGAACAGAGAGATGTTACTTACCGTCGATATGTTAGAAACTGAAGGAGTATGCCACAACCATAAGTTCCTTGAGGAAAAAAAATCGGGGAAATTCAATAAATCATTTGTTTGTATACTCTTGCTGGAATCCACATAATTAGGATACAAATGTAGAATATACACATATGTTTTGAGATCAAACTATTGACTAGGATAAATTACCGGTGATCAAGTTTTACTATAATGCCTGAAGGCAAAACTTCACAAAAATTATGAGATTTTACGCTTTTTGGAGTAGAAACAGAAAGGAGGTTTGCTGGGGTCAGACAGAACTGTTTAGTGAGAACAAGATCAGATATATCTCTATTTATTTCTCCCACAAGTTTTTTCCTGACTTTGACAGTGTCTGTCATATGTGTATTTTTTAAATCAAGCCCCCTAGATCACTACTACGCTATTTACTATTTTGTGCCGATGCTTCATGATTATAACTGGTGTTCTGCCAACCTTCACTCTTTATCAGACTTACCTACAGGCTGAGCGAGGTCCGGAAGTAATTCAACCAAGAATCGAATCCAGATGACGCGCGTGGTTGTTGCTAAGGTCTCTATCAGTGAATCATCAACGCTGACCCTAACTTTTAGTTGAGTATAATCTACCGTAACCTTAACTTTAGCACCTGACATTGCGCGATAGTGAACACGAAGACTCTTTTATGAGAAACCGAGAGTTGGTGTGCTCGTTCGTTTGTAGTGACATAATTCAACCTCACCAAATCGTCCTCTAAGCATCACTATCAAGATAAATAATACTGTATCGCTAAGTGGTTTTGTTACTACTACTACTAGTAGGTGTTTTCTAAGTAAGCTAAGGAAAAAAACACTTCGCCTTAATCTAGATCGAAACGTCATGTAATTAAATTTATATTGGTACGTAGTCAACTAGTCAACAATACAGTTGCAATAAAGTAAACTTATAAAATTTCAGCCGTGTAAAATAACTAAATGAAAATCTGTAATTTCCAGTCATTTGTTTCGTTTTCCTGGAAGGATAAATCTTGCTTTCTTCGTCTGTTATCTTCTCAGTGTGAGAGGGAAAGATTGAGATACGAGTCGATGTCTTTTCATAATCGCCGCACACGCTTCAACCGACTGCAATCCGAACTCAGCAAAGGACGAGTTCTATCATACACTGTCTAGTTGGCTGGTGAAGGCGAAACACTCAGATACAGTCATTTTAGCATGTGATTTCAATACTCACGTAAGGAAGTTATGTAGGTGAGAAAAGTATATTGGCTGTACTTTTGGAGTCCTACACCGACGAATCGATAATACTGCGGTTGCTCACTACTCTACAGGTTCTGATTATCACCTGTTACTCGTAAGCCTTAACTTCATATATAATAAAGCAAGACATTGTCTAACACGGTGACTTCCATCATCAAATCAACGATGAAATAAAAACAGGTCCTATGGCTATCTATAACTTACTTACTTTACTTTACTTCGGCTATCTCCTACGGGAGCATGAGCCGGCTTCATGAACGATAGTTCATGAAGTTTCATGGGAATTTGGTACGAGTGATGTCCCCAGAATCGCTCGGCCTTTTCTTTGAGAGTGCAGCTCTAGCCTTTACACAACCAAGTGTGACCTACAAGGCAGTAGGAGTGTAGTAGGGAGTCCACTATCCATTGACAGCCGGTGACCGGAGTTCAGTTCATACGCCTTTTTGAATGGGGCCAGACATCCAGGACATCCAACAAGCCCTTTGTCCATACGTCTGCCGGTGAGCTCCAGTGAGCTTCATTGGAGGTTTGGAATTAGTGTTTAGCCATCTCCCCTAGACTGTCGTCCAATGGACAGTCAACCCGGTAAAGAGCGCCGGACATCCGCTTTCGCCCTCTCACTTTGGTGAAAAACACCTCCGCCACGTGAAGGCAGTGAGTAGGACTTCCTCAGGAGAGGCTATGTAAGACGCCCGGTCATATGGGAGCATTTCAAGAGGTGTGCGGAGGGGTGGCCAGCCCGCAGCGCAAGGCATCCACCCCCGACCATCCTGAGGCTTTAGAGGTAGAAGACTACCACTCTTTCTGGAACACCTGCGTAAAGACTCCGATCGTGCTCTGCCTCGTACACGTATAAGCCTGCGAATTAACGGACATAAAATACCAGGAACTATGATACTCATACGTTCCAAAATGTGATTAAAGCACGAAATCTCTAATTAGGGCAGAAATATCCAAACGTATACGTCAGATTGACAGCAAGACTCATCCTAGACCCATTAAATTTTCATGTTTCTCCAGTATATTTCCCTATATTAAAGTTCTTTTGATTACTTTTTTTTCCTTTCTTTACTTTTATGTGCTACACGGAATGTGGCAGCCTGAAGTGTAAGACTTCTGTGCAAAGTTCTACGTTGAAACTCAGTCAATCAGTGTGATAATAGGATTCGAGTGCCTAATCATATATACTGTTAAATTACTGTGGGTGAACAACACTGGTCTGTCCAGTTACCAGACAGTCATTTAGGAGTAATTTGGTGGATGGCGACTAGCGGTTGAATCCAGGACGGGTACTTCATCCTATATTTCAGGACTCGCTACCTGGATTTACCTGCAATCCAGTAAGCCCACTGAGGCTCAAACCCAGTGTACCCATCGTTTCAAACTCCAAATCGTTATCCCCTATAACACTTGGGCGACGAAGCCTCCGTACTAGAAGCCGAACACTTCGGTTCAAAAAATCATCAACGAGAAAACTAAAATTGAATTAAAAACAAATAATACTTCAAAAAAAACTGTGATTATTTTTGTTTACACTTACTTGTCTAATTCAAGGTAGGAATATAGCACAAAGTCAGATTTACAATGTAAAGCTTGACGGTATACCCAATAGGATTTATCCAGCATAGCGTATTGTGCTTTAAATAATCCAAATAAAGTTGGATAGATATTCGGCAGGAGACAATCACAAGCCAATTCAAATAAACTGATTGATCTGAAGATGAAACGAAAGCGGAATTATAATTGTACACAATCGGTCTTTGATCATAGGTGTCTGAGTTCTATCTCCCGTGTGAAATAGTATAATAAGGTGAGCAATATTGAGGTTAGGCGTCGAGTGCTAGGTAAAGAGGGGAAATCAATAGACGAGGCTGTGAAGCTACATCGACTGAGACGGTTAGAGCATGTGTTACGCATGCCTAGCCATCGCCTTCCTCGACGGGTAAGGTTAGCTGGCTGACAGGGTGAGGTTGGAAAAGAGCTAGCTAATGGTGGTCAAACCAAAACATGGCTTCATCAGTCAATGAAATCCACAACAGTTGGTTTAAGCCAGTTACGCAGGAAAGTGTACACTTACTGGTTGGGGTCCTCGGGACGGTAAACACCAATGCCTGGAGACAATTGGTGATGTGGCTCAAAATCGTTGTCAGTGGCTGGCGCAGATGCATCCACTCCTTGTGACTTATAATACCCAATAAAACTATTTTGTTCTTCGATATTACTATTCGTTTTGCCCCATATCTCTGTATACTGTCTCTATTTCGCATTTCTTTTTTACTTTCTTCTCTTGCTTTACGTGTTATGTGGAGTGTGGCGACTCGAACTGTTGCACATCGGTGCAAAGTTCTATGTTGAAACCAGTCAGTCATTCGGTAAACAATCGGAAATAAATAAGGATAAGCAGAAGATAACGGGTGCGTCGGTGGTACAGCGGTAGAATGTTCGCCAACTACGCAGGTGGTGCGGGGATCAGTCCCCGGTCGTCGCAATCCCAAACCTCGCTCAGCTGGCAATAAGCCAGGCAAAGAGGGAAAGTTGGACATGAGGTTAGTAACCCCATCCCGTAAAAATGAAACCACTGCTACCGAAACTTCAAAGCTGTAGATTGAAGCCCTATGTTCCACTGGGAACGCAAAGGAATAGAATTTTTTAACAATAGAAGATTATGGAACAACTATGAACATAAAAATCAAAGAATTTACTACATGAAACGCCTACTACTTCCACTACTGCATTCCGAATCTAACATAAGGTTTCAGCAGCACTTTCACCACTTCGCCATTCCACTCGGTTCTCTGCCATCCCTTTCAGCTGGCTGAATAACTTTTCACAAGCTTTCGTTTCCTCCAACCTCTCCCCACCCTACATGATCTTCACCATGTTAATCACCACACGGACTAACGCCCAACCCTTTGTGCTGTGTGATATCACTCAATAGTGTCCTCAGTGTATGTCCAATTCATCGCCACTTCCTTCAGCGTATATTTTTGGTTAAGCAGCAGATTGTTAACTGGTTCACTACCTGCTAAGGTTCCTTGTAGCTTATCCTTTCCGACTGGTTGGTTGGCCATCTGATTTTCAGTATCGAGCAAACGAAGATATTGATAAGAGTTTTCAGTAGTCTGTTAGATATGGTTTTAGCGACCCATATACTAAGACTCTGTGAAGAATACAGAAGCATTAACTTGACAACATATATTGAAAATCCGGATCATTTAGTTCCTTGCAATTAGTCTGAAGATCTCTACACAGATTTGAGACTAATGAAAGTCTGTCTCACTTTTCTGATCTGTTAGTGCTAAAAGATGATAACAAGGTTCAATTCTGCTACAAGTGAACATCTTATTGTTGAAATATTCATCGCTGATACAACCGATGATTAGAGAGAAATTACCGATATAACTGACAATTAAAATATGAATTAGATAGAGAGATGGGGAGTTAGTTTTAAAAAAATTTTCACACAAGTTACTCGGAGTTGATAGCTGAACGGTTCACAATCAAATAGATCATACATAGTCACTATGGACCAAATATGTCCTTTCTATTATTGGATTTCTGTTGACTTTATTTCAACCTGTAACAATTAGAGCTAATACACACCTTAGTACAAGCTTCCAGGTTTTATCCCGGTTGAAAACCAAGTATGAGGGTCGGGATAGTTTGCTCAAGACAATAAAAGCTCATTTATTTAGTTGCACGCAATACACCTCAAAGTAAACTACAAAAGAGCCATTCATTGAAGAAAAAGAACTATGCTTCACAATATACTCACTCACCCGCTGAGTTGAACTTCAGGTAAGCTGCAAAGGGAATGCCATTTGCCTTTGATAGAAACACTTTCCTCTCCCCCTCCTCCTTCTTCTTCGCCTGCTTCAATTTCTTCCTTTTCATTCTCATTACACTGACAACAGTCATCAATGTCTGAAACTGAGAATCGGCCGCCACTAGCATCAACATTGTCATCTCTACTCACCATGTCGATGTGTAGTAAATTGGGGAGGGTGAATAAATCACAGCTGACATTCGGTTCACAAACCTGATAGATAAGATGTGCAGAAAATGAACAGCTTACCGAGTGATGAAATCACCCTCCAGTCAACATACTAAAACACCTAATGATGAAGTTTATACATAAACATCATTATTTATATTTAGGTTTAGTTTACAATAATAGTTTTGACTATTTATTCATGCTATATATTATACAGTTAAAACATGCATAGAACATTATTAGTCCTTGGCTTAAACTTCTTAGTTTAGCCATGTATGAAAACATATAGACGAAAGTGATCTGTTAGACAATACGTAGACACATATTCAATTGATAGTGCATCAATAAATTCCTTAATTTTGTCCAGTGATGACAGACACAATCATTATAAGCGACAAGCACTTTAAATGTTACATCGATGAAATAATCGAAATCTGATAGTTGTTCAGTGTTTTCTAACCTTTAAGCTCTACGAATGATCGTCAAAAGTGACGTCATCAACAGTTGGCATTTTAGAAAAGTTAACCGAAAAGGTATATTCATTATCATGCGTAAATGAATTAATAGCATAAAGTTTTAGTTTGCAGAGATTTGATTGGTTTGAAGATACACCATCCACCGATGATAGTGGTAGAATTCATCTCATTGGCTAAGTAGTTGAAGTGGCTGCCTCGAAACTTGAAGGTTCTTGGCTCGGCACCATGATGCGGTAATAAGTGCATACACAGCTGAACAGTCCTAAACTAAGAGGAAACAGCTAGCTATCCAGCACTCCCTTCCTGGTCTTCACTGGTTCTCTAACCGGTGTTTAGTATGTGGTCTTAAGGATCGTGAGAATAAGAGTTTTTCGATGCAGCGGTTGTTGTACAATTTACTGGATGGAGTAAATCTTTTGAACAGGTAACTAGGAATTACCTGAAGAGGAAAACCAGATGGTGAATTCTGCATATAAGACAACTTATTGTGTCCTTACCTTCATATATGCTTTAGACTGCTTGTCTTCGTTTTCAGTAATTCTGTTATAATGAATATTATTGATAATGCAATAAGTCCTAAAACATTCCGCTACACATGACATATTGACCAAATAATTGTATTTTTCTTTTTGACTGAACTATATTCATAGTGCAGAACTTTGCACAAAAGTGTAGCAGTTCATCAGGTTGCCACACACTTCAGAAAACCACACACATACAAAAAAAACAGACGAAATGCAAAGAAGCTACAATGAACAAGAATTCACAGGAGAAAGAATAATTACATAGGGAATAATGAGGATTAATTGATTTTTGGCAGTCACAAAGAGGAAAGGTATTTTTCATATTGAGAACAATTTTCAGCCATGTTCACAGATACTTTCTAGCCGTCTCCAGCTGGAAGAGCAGTTAGGCATGCGGAGGGGACTGGAACAACACCATACCATCCAGAAATTAATGGTTTGACAGAAAGAAATAACCGTACACTGAGGGAGTGTGGATGGCCTGGAAAAAACGGAACTGGGAGACATAACTTCCATCGATTCTACTAGCACATCAGGCTTTAATCCAGGAAACAATAAGTCATCGTTTCAGTAGATGCATAGTAGAAACCTGTAACTGCAAATACACAATAAGACCTGGGCAGCATCATCAACAGTGCAGTATAAAGAGTCAATCATAAAAGTGAGGCATAAACAGAACATTAACGCTGTAAAGTTCGAGCAGAGAGAAAGGAAGAAATGCATAACGTTTGAAATCAAAGATCACGTGAAGTGTAGAAAAAGAGGGGCGGCAGGTTGACGAAAATTCCTTCCGAAGTGAGCAAGACTATACACTATCACTTTGACACGTTATCCTGTTTATACCATCAGATGAAGAGACCGACGGAAGCGTGTTAACGCCGGCTAACTTCAGAGATGTACAGATTGGGAAAAAGATTTCAGCGCCAAGACACAACAAGACAACGAGAGAGAGAGAGAGAGGGCAACATCGAAATGGTCTGAGCCACGCCACCTGAGACTTTTTGACAGGGGAACAAGTGTGACACGTGTTCTACTGGAAACATTTTAAGCAATATATTGTGTGTCATCTGCAAGATGTTTGAATAGAGAAGAGACAGATCAAATGGTGAGGACGAGAAATGAAAATTCTTGTGAAGTAGTAGAGAAAGCATGATAAGAAGATAAAAGAAGTCAGAAGGAGCATGGAAACAAACTTAAAATAACTTATTTTATGACTGAAAAAAATGGGATGAACTGAATGAAGATAAAGAGAGAAAATTACACACACAGAGAACAAAACAAAAAACTGAAGGATAAAGGAACATACCGAACTAGGTCTACAATTTCTGACTGCTGCAATCAATACCTCAACTCAAAAACTAAAGTCCGACATCTCCTGACAAAGGAACACAAACAGCAGCTTAAAGACTTGAGAAACAACAAAGATCTAATCATTACACGTCCAGACAAAGGTTCGGGAGTGGTCCTTATGGATAGAGATGTGTATATCAATAATTTGACAGCTCTAATCTCTAATGATAATAAATTTTCAAAACCAGACAATGAGAAGAATAAGACAGAACAAATGGAACAGCAACTGACAGATGTTCTTAGGAGAATGAAAAATGACTGTCTCATAACTGATGACCTATTTGAACGTCTGAGACCAACAGGATCAATTATCCCTCGACTCTACGGTCTACCAAAGGTGCACAAAGCAGGTCTGCCACTTCGACCAATTTTAGACATGGAGGGATCACAGTGCCATCCGATGGCCAACTGGTTGTCCAAAATGCTAGATCCTGTGAGACGACAAATCTGTAAGTACTCTCTCCGAGATACTTTTGAATTTATTGAGTGCATAAAAGACTTGAATGTAAATGGCAAACGAATGTTATCACTGGACGTAGAATCTCTATTTACGAATGTGCCGCTCACAGACACAATTTGTTTCCTTTGCAAATATATGGATGACAAAAATCTGAGTATCGGAATACCAACCTCATATCTGAAAGAGTTTTTATTAGGGTGCAAACTCAACGTACATTTTACATTCAACGGCATCATCTATAGACGGAAAGACGGGATTGCTATGGGCTCTCCCCTTGGTCAACTTTTGGCAGACTGCTTCATGGCTAGCCTGGAAAACGGTATCTTAAAATCAACAATGGACAAATTGTTGTTGTACAAAAGACACGTCGATGACACTTTTGATTGTCAGGATGATTCTGATTTAAATTGTATCTTACAGGAGTTTAATAACTGCCATCCTTCAATTAAATTCACAATAGAAGTTGAAAATGAATCAAAGATTCCATTCCTAGACGTTGAACTGACAAGAAGAGATGACTGAACTCTAAAAAGATCTATCCATAGAAAACCAAAATGGAATGGCTAACTGACAAACTTCTACAGTTGGATACCTATCAGCCGTAAAAGAGCTCCCATCATCTCACTAGCCCACCGTACCAGAAGAATTTGCAGCGATGACTGTTTAGAAGAAGAGCTCTTATTTCTCAAAAGCATCCTGGTTCAAAATGGATACCCACCGCGTTTCGTGGAGAAGAACATGAAACCAAAGCCAAAAAGAGAAGAATACACTTCAGTGCAAAGAAAACACTTTATTTGAATCTGGAATTCAGGGGAGACCTAGCAGCAGATATCCTTAAAAGGAGAATCTCCAATTCCCTGAAGAAGACTTTTCCTGCAGCAACTCTAAGAGTGACATTCTCTAGCCGCCCACTACTTCGGAGCAACGTAAAGGACAGACTTCCGTATATGACCACTTCAATGTACATATATCAGTTCACCTGCTCTTGCGGAGCTAGGTACATAGGTCGTTGTATGCGGGTCTTATCAAAACGTGTTAGAGAACACCATCCAACTTTTTTATACTGCGGAAGCTGTCGCCATATGCATCGAAAAGCCGGAGCTATGTGTTCAAAAGAAACTAGTCCAGCCTTTACAACTACCATGGACCTAGTTCGGTATGTTCCCTTAGCCTTCGGCTTATTTTTTTGTTTTGTTTGTTGTGTGTGTAATTTTCTCTATTTGTCTTCATTCAATTCATCCCATTTTTTCGGTTATAAAATCAGTTATTTTAAGTTTGTTTCCATGCTCCTCTTGATCACACTTGTAATCCGTTTAAAAGAAGTCAGATATGAAGAACTGTGAATGAGAATTTCAATCTAAGATTTTTGTATTTTGCAAGACTTTGCATATCATCTCATTAAACAAACAATTCTGTGTTAATAAATACCACTGTGTTCTGCCGTTACAATACAAACAATACAGTATTATCATCTATGAAAATACAACTTCTGTTTAAGAAAAGCAAAGCAAAGAAAGAAATAAACGACCAGAGAAGGTAAACTTAATAACGAAAAAATATATATGCTAAACTAACTTGAAATAAATGATTGACATTATCAATTTGAAGCACTGGTGTAAATGCCAGAGAATTGAGTTTCTGCTGTATAGCTTGAGCGAAAGTATGCGCTAATCTAGCGACAAGATGAGCATATTCACTAAGAGCTAATACAAGTTGTGTATGTATTGAATAGTTTGGATAGGGAGAATTGAATAATTGATCCACCTCAGTTGATTGACGATGACACGATAACTGTTTATAATTTATTGTACAAGTTATATGAAAACAATCAGCCAATAGTGAACTGATTAATCGTAAGTATTTAAGCCATAAAGGTGAAGATGTAGGGATTTTCAATACAGGCTGTACTGTATGCATTTCATGTGAGTCTAGTTCATTGAGCATATTACACAATAATTCATCAATTGAGTTCACTGCTAATCCTCCAAGACTAGTAGGCAAGCACCAGTTGGCTAACTCATTGATTAGTTGAATATGCTGATGATATTTATTGGTTTGTGGACTGACTACGTCATTCGATGATGCATTAGATGCATTGTCCAAGGATGCACGCTATAAATAGAATGTACATAAATACGCATTATATATTAATCTCTTTGGAAAGAACAATTGATAAATAAGGTGTTACAAGAGTAATTCATACTTGCAAACCATTGCGTATTGGACAGTGAATTAGTCAAATTGGAAAACTGAATGGCAAAAAATGACACAGGCAGATCAACTGAGGTGTATCGAAGTCACTCGACCCCCCTCCCCCTGCCTGCTTGCCTACATAGCAGTATTAAGTTCACTCTTGATATTATTCTCTCTATGTGTTTGAAAATAAGGCGAGCAATGCTGTGAATAATTCAATAATCAAAATACTATAATCTAACAGCTGTAGAGCAGTCCACTAACCTTTGTAGAGTAGCCAGATATCTTCTACCCACTATTGAAAACGCATACTGAAAAAAACGTGTAGATATTACGACAGAAACCAAACTGTTTCGTCCTAGTTCGGGACTCATCGGCAGTACGCACCCACTGGGGTTCAAGCCCAGGACCTTCCGATTAAAAGGGACCCGATTCAATGGCCCACGTATTCTAACTTCCACCAATTCGTGATATTTAGCGCGAACACCAACCAATGTCACCGGCGGGTCCCAGTGGCTGATCGGTATACGAGCTTACCTTGTAACCGAAAGGTCCTGGGTTCGAACCCCAGTGGGTGCGTACTGCCGATGAGTCCAAAACTAGGGTGAAATAGCTGTCCAGTACTCCCTGTTGGTTTTCAATGGTTCTCTAACTGATATCATCCTTGGCTACCTGGAACAAATAGAATCCCTACAGACTAGTTCTTGAAAAGAAACCAAACTGTGATAAGACACTTTCAAAAACAAAGGACGCCGATAACACTTTAGATGACTTCATTTCCAGTTACTGAATTACGAACTAACGTTAACAGCAACAGACACACATCATGACAGCCTATCAATCAAATATCGCTTCCACCTTCCCAATTATATAACTTCACGTCCAACACTTAGGGCGAAATGTGTCTATATCTGACTATTGTTTTATCATGTGATATACATGTAAATGTGACTCATTAAACATTTTGTTTCACTGGTCAATACTCTTAGGTATGTTTCTACGCCTTGTTTTTTCTTGGTGGACAACTGTACTTTGTTTGTATTTATTGCCTTTACATAACTGTAAGGAGTTACCCACTTTTCACCTATAATAAGGTTCGGACTCTTTGGTGACTGTCAGAAGTAAATTTATCTATGGGCAATTAGATCCTAATCACCTCAAACCAGTCCGGTAGCATCATTTTTCACTTGATAAGGTCACACTATACAGATTCAGGGTTTTTCTCACAACATATAAGGGGTGTTTGTGTACTCCGGGCTGACGAGGTCTATAACTTGGTAGTGAGTTTATTTCCGAATGGTTGAAGTCAAGCATAATTACACCCATCAATATATGACAATGGGCATCCATGATTGATACCCTGTGGTTGTCGTTACTGTGAGAAACAACTTTCACTATGCTCTTACATGACTCCGTGATTTCGAAAAGAGTATCTCTCTAAGCAGGTAGGTGCATCTGTGTTTCAAAACCTGTCCGTGTGAAAATTTTATAAGTGCACTATCGTTATATTCCGAAAGTTGCTTAGTTTTCAGGAGCAGCCGAAGTTCTTATTCGACCTTTCAACTTTGTGACGGACACACGCCACATCAAGACAATAAAGTAGGACTTATCTGGCAGAGGTTATGAACGCGTGGCCACATCAGAGCATTTCGAAAGGAAGACCAAAGTCTGCCTACCCTCGGACATACTAGATCGTTTATGGGAATGTCTGGTTGTAACAACCGAACAGGTGGAGGAGGAGCTAGAAAACCCTGATTCCAAACCTGTGGTATACTTGAACTCCACAATCCGAACGCATCGAATGGCGTATGAACCTTATTTAGTCACAGTAAACCATGGGAAGGCTTTAAGACAACCACCTGCTTCAGTTCAGGCGTCCGAGAAGTATCCCAGTCCTTGTACACACTATGAGATTTTGTATGGCACATCTATTGGTGCCCATAGTGTACCAAGCTTCTGTTTAATTAACACTGATAATAATAATAGTTTTCTAGAGTCTGTTGTATAAATGAATAATAAGTGGTAATCATACTCGAGAACCAAACAGTAGCAACTAACTTACTTGTGTGTAATTCATGATAAACAGAATTCTACCTGTAACATAAAGGTGGATAATACTATGCATGCCTTGCCTGTTGAACAACGTGAGGCAAATACACCAATACTCTGTGAATTTCGGTGTCTAGGGAAAACAATCACCCACATAACGTATCATCAATCCACCGTCTAATAAGTGAGAAGAATCCTAAACTCTTAATAGCGAAGATGATTTCATGCATTATGTAAGATTAAATTTGCCTACAGATATTTTGTCCTCACTATGAATACTGATGATACAGAGTCTAGGCCTCACTATAGGTAAAGCTCAGTTGACTTAAAGTAAACTTTATCCGTTTCTAAAGTATAGAGGAAATAATGAAATTACACAAAGCGCCTGTCCATCAAAGAAGGACAAAGTCAAACCGAACGGTACTGATGTGTGGCACAAAATGGTTAGTGCATTACACTTACGTACATATAAGGAAATAGAATACAATACTCCCTCAAGGTCAACCACCAGTAGTGGGAGTTTACATTAAAGTAACTAATAATCACATGATGATAATCACGAGAGACAAGGTCAGGTAATACAGATTGGTGGCCTGTCATAACACACTATTTACAAAAAGTCGAAACATCCACCTTGTAGTCTCTCACTTGTCGGTGTGGCTGTATATTGCGAATCGACTGCTCCTGTGTGCAAGTTACATAGGCCGTAGTACAACTAGGCGTGTTTATCATCGGATTTCTAAACATAATCCTGTGTGGTTAAGTAAAGGACAACAGACAAAATCTATTCATAGCTCTATTCTATCTCATCTCATGGATACAGAATACAAGATTGATGTTAACATGGCTTTCAAAGTCATCTACCGCATACCAACTAAACTGAATTTTACCTTAAGAGTTCGTCTACTACATATTGCTGAGACTGTAGGGATCTACATTAAGAAACCTAACTTATGTATCCAAAAGAAGTTGGTTCAGACGCTTTTCTTATCTTGATTATCAAGGTTTTAATTTGTTGTGGAAATTTCCTTAATTTTATTTGATATTCTATTTGCCATTACATTTTTATGCTTATTATATATATATAATATGTTCACATGACAATCTAATGAACACCTGATATAATCTAGATTCGTCATAATTTAATGCACACTTTATACACAAGTGGAGTGATACATAAACAAGGTATATACCAAGATGCAATGCACATTCTCTAATTTCATTAATATTATTTACAATAACAACAAAACAAAAATGTTTAGTATAACTGAAAAGGGATGATTAGAAGAAGAAGAGAAGATGGAATACAAAAGTAGTAAGCATTAATTATTATTTATTCATTATTAATGAACTTACAGATGTCAAACTGTTTACATAGTCTGTCAAACATGATAATGAAGTGGAATTGAATAAGTGCATAGCGTTTATGACACAATTACGGAATAAACTATCCCAACGCAAATGAAATGGAACTGTATAGGAGGAGATTAATCTAACGTAAATGAAAAACAAAAAAAAAAAATAGAGAAGGAATAGTATGGTAAAGAGATTATAGAAAATTAGCTACTTTGTTAGCTGTGATTTTTAAACACATTATTATTATTATTATTATTATTAATCTTTCATTCCCGAGTATGTCCATTGTATCTTGTTTCCTGTAGTCCTTTTCACCTAGCTCTATGGTTACCCATAGGCCTTCATTTCCTCTCCACATAATCTCCTGTTTCATATCACTCCTGGATTTATGCTCAACTCATCACTTCCCAAACCATTCACACATTCCATTCGACGACGTGGTGGTCTCCCCAGTGTATGTTCAGCCCATCTCCATTTCCCTCTGCATATTCGTTGGTTGGGTGACAGGTTGTTGATTTCCTTGCCACTCACCGGAGTTCCTTCTTACTTTATCCCTTCCGGTTTGCCATTTCATCATCAGTATCCGGTGGAGATAGCTATTAATGACTCTCCGAGTAGCCTATTAGTAGTACTGCTTTCAGCCAAATCTATAAACCATAAAGAATCACTAATCTGACGTTAGTGTTTAAAATTTGGATATTGTTCCTGATATTGAGTGCTATGAATCGCCAAATAATAAAAACATAATTGGATAAACTTGAATATTTCAATTGTTAGACAATTATATCTATAAATGACCATAGAGATTTTGATCATAAAAGAAATGAAGTCCAATTGCCTGTGTTAGGTAGTACAATATGATTGTTAGTAATGAGTGTTCGGTGAAGAGAGAAAGTTAATCTACGAGGGTATGAAACAGCATCGATGGAGGTGCCCAGGATACGTGTCACACATGTCAAGTCGTTGTTGACATAGTATTGGATTGGAAAAGAGTTACTGGTATTCAAACCAGAGAAGTCTTTGACTGTTGGGGAGGTGTAGACTGTATGGGTGGGACATTTGGCATACTTACAATCAATGGTTGGATATTGTTGGTGACATGGCTCAAAACTAGTATCAATTGCATTCAGATATAGCCATTCCTTGTTATCTTCTAGATAGTTATTTATGTAATTATTCTCCTTGTTTCTATACAATTTTCATTTACTTTAGTTTCATTAGATTTATTTCCCCTGCCTCTTTTATATGTGCTTTTCGAGAACGTACGTGACAACCAGAATAGATTTAATTTTGTACAGAGTTGTAAGTTAATAATTTAACAAATTTTAGATATTATGGTGTTCTGCAATAAGGCTACGAAATATGAAGACCTGGTTCATAGAATAACAACGTTTACTCCTCAAAAATCAATCAATATATATATTCAATAGAATCCTACAGGAGGTAAACTGTGTGCGTCCGTGGCGCAGAGTTACAGTGCTCACCAGCCATTCAGGTGGTCCGGGTTTCGATCCCCGACCGACGCAATCCCGAACCTCGCTTAACTGGAAATAAGCCTGAAAAGAAGGAAAGGTTGGGTGTGAGACTAGGTATCCCACCCCGTAAAAATAAAACTACTGCTACCGAAACTTCAAAGCTCTAGCTTGAAGCCCTATGTTCCACTGGGAACGCAAAGGAATAAAAAAGGTCAACTGCCGACATCTCTGACTGGAGTACTGGGTGATAAGGATTCGAATCTCCAAGGTGTGGACATCAATTCCTTCTAGCTTGTGGATATTTCTTAATTAAAAGTGTCATTGTACACAAAAACCTGAGCGTCCAAAGCCTCACCTTCTGACTGCTTCCAAAATCGAACATGACTTCAAAGTGACAGTATACGTCTATTTCGGTCTATTTACCTTTACAAGGTCTTCAGGTAGTCGTGAAATGAATGTTTATGTGTGAAAAATTATGCTTAGTGCAGGAATAGTGAATTGTCCCCCAAATTAACCTGAGTACATTACATCTTAAACTACGCGCATACACCACTACTCAAGATGTCAGCTAAAAGGGTATGACAGTTTATAAATGGTCAGCATATCCAAACTAATAAAACAATCCTCATGCATCATGCATGAGCCTTATCACAGACAAGCAAAATGGTCTTTTAGCGTTTATATCACCCTTATCTGGTGTGTGCGATTTTCGACGCCACGCAACAGTACAAGGTGTACACATAGTGCATGAATCTCAGTATTATGGTGCATAATACACCTCCAAATACATTCAAACTTGAGAAAAAAAATACTTCTTTTTGATTTAGACAAAGTTTATTCACACTATAAACACATGATTATTCATTGTTATTTGAGAGACTAAGTTCAACCAAAGACTGAACAACTTACATGGCCAATTCAATAAAATCATGATTCGCTAATGTTTTCGTATCAACTGACTGATTGCAATGAGTTGAGTTGACCGATGATTCAAAACCTTGACTGGATAGTTCATTTATCACAGTTTCAATTCGTTCACACTGTTTCCAGGCTCCGCTTTTCTCACGCTCTTGCACTAGAAATGGAACGCGTAAACGATGATGATAACTACCCGAGGTTATTCGCTTGTTATTATTATTATTATTCATTGTCCCGTCAACAGGTATTATACTGCCTTTAAAGTATAAAGTGTTGTTGTCTTTAGACGGAGAACTGGTCAATGCACCAGAGAAATTTCCGACCAACAAGAGATTAGATGACAAAATGTTTAGGATAGCCTTGAAAGAGAGAGAGAGAAAGGAAAAATAATTAGAAAACAGACTGAACGACTTAAGATATTTGTGCTAAACAAATTTACTATTACACCGTTATCAGGGATTTCGTCAACTTTTCATTCGCTACTTTTGAAGTCTAGCGAAAACTTAAGACGTATGAAATCTACAAAGTGTGGTCCTTAAAATTGAAACCCTTTATATATTGGAAAACCCTTTCGGGAAACAACATTCTTAAATACTAGAGAGCACTCAGCTCTCGAGCTCGAGTCTCACTCCGCCGACTTCAGGCTGGACAACTAAGAAATCTGCATCGGATGACTGATTTTTTATAACATGATGCTTAAAGCTGATTAGAAATATAACAGAGAGGTTAAGAAATGGAAGTAAACATATGACATCAATCTCCTGCTGATATCCACATAATCACTTTACACACACACACACACAAATACAGGCTTTGATGAATAAACTTTCACCATCGACTGTATTCATTAACCGTTAGAATGTCTCAATGATACAGTATGGAAGCTGTTTTCATGAATGGTCTTCATATGCAATATTGTCTTCCACGTTTCAGTTCCTTTTCTACACTAGCTCAGCGATAGGCTTTCTAGCTGAAATTTTCCACTGTTCTCCTTTCCACAGTATGTTCCAATGGAAAGTTGATGGCCTGTTGTTAAATTAAAGGGTTGACAAGACAAACAGTTCATGCGCACATGGCAGATAGTATCTTTAAACAGCATAGAATGAATACAACTTACAGCTGCTTACAAGAAACTCTACGGTCGGTCGGTTTTCGACATAGAACTTTGCACATATGTGCGGCAGTTCAAGTCGCCACACTCCCTCCATGTAGCACACAAAGCAAGAGAAGAAAGTAGGAGAAATGCATAATATAGACAGTAAACAGAAGTGTGAGACAAAGGAATAGTAATAACAAGAACAAAACAGTTTAATTGGAAATCATAAGTCACAAGGAGTGGACGCATCTGCGACACTGAGAACGATTTTGTGCCATGTCACCAATTGTTTCCAACCATTGGTTTTTACCGTCCCGAGGACCCCAACCAGGAAGTCTACACCTTCCTACGTGGATTAGACTAACTGTTGTGGATTTCATTGACTGGTGCCATGTTTCCGTTTGACCACCGCTAGCTCTTTTCCAGACTGGCCTTATATCAGCTAACATTGCCCGTCGAGGAAACAAGAAACTCTACGCAATTGTTAACCCTAAATTAGCATTATATTTAGGAAGTTTTAATTTAAAGAGTAACCCACATCTTTTCAGTTTTAAACCTTAAGGCGAACTCCAAAAAAAAGCAATGCACACCTTTATCTCATCCCTTTGCGTTCCAAGTGGAACAACAAATGGCCTTTAGCATTCTGAACTTTCAGTAGCGATGGTACTGCGCTTTTACAAGATTAGGTAGCTAGCCTCAGTTAGTCAAATAGACGAGGATTAGGAGTGAGTCCGCCGAAAATCGAACCCGAACCACGTGAGTAGTTGCCAGGCGTTCTACCATGAAATCACCAATCCATACCTTACATAATAACCAGCAAACTAGGTTGGCGTCAGTGGTTTTCACGATATATACACAAAAATCAAGCCAGAAAAAAACATACGATTTCTAAAGGAGTTAGCTGCTTACCTTACCCTTCGGATGATTTTTAGAAAGCATGCCAGTATAAATATTCCCTTCAGGAGTAATACATAAACCTTGTCCCTATAAAAACAAAATACATGAACACTTTGAGCATATACTGTTTTAATTTCGGTCTTTACTTTTACTATTATTACTATTATGATTATTATCATTATTATTATCGTTATTATTATTATTATGATTGTTATTGTTATTATAATTATTATCATTATTATTATTGTTATTATTATTACTATTATTATTATTGTCCCCTTGAGTTCCGAGAAAAACATAGGGCTTCAACAACACATCTCCAGTTTGTTCTATTCTATGATGTCCTCTTCATCTATGCCCACGATTACCCATAATCTCTGATTTCCTCCATGTGTCACCCACTCGTTGTTCCCCATTCGGATTCCACTAGAGCGATGGTGAGGCGTGCGATCTCATTCCAGTCTTTATTTATTGTTTCATGCTCTTTTTTTACTAAACAAAAACAGCATTTTGAGATTTAAAGAATAAAAAACAACACAAAACTTTCGCATAGCTAAATTTCATGTGATTTTATCCGCCCAAAGGGTGTTCGGTAAATGCAGTTATTCAGTTTTTATCTACACTGACCATATGATCCACCCATGTTTAAACTCCCAGTTAGAAATGGGAAAACAGACGAAAAAAATGATAAAATGATATTGAGTTTACTGAAATAAATTGTGGGGGAATAAATAGGTGAGGATATAAGCTATCTCGAGATGTTTTCACGCATAGCATACCAAACGGTACAAAATGATATTCCAGCTGTGAAAAAAAAATTGGTAAAGCCACATTTGAAACAGCTAAATGTAACCTCTGATACGATTACAGAATCCCTCTGAGAACAGGAAATGAAGAAAGTTAAATCGTAGTTGGCCGACTACCTGTTCTATCTATCTGTTCAAGTATACTGATGTGAAAGTGCGGTAAGTTTGTTTGACAGTAACTCATATCCTCACTCAGAGCAAACGCATCTACACATTTGTGATTGGCGCCATATCAAAGCAGATTCCTACCAGCTGGAAAACATTAACATATCACCGACCTATGTAGTAAAAACTAACGTGAGAAGAGTGTAGAAATTGATGCTAGGTCTTTCTTTCTAACCAACTCTATCTTCTTTCCATAGTAGTCCTAGGCAAGCTTACACAGCACTCTAAAATTAGCGGTGCCTAGAAATACACAACACTGTGATCAACAAAGATTTCAATATACTAGCCTTCGTCTTTTGAAAATCGGAATCTAGTCTCACCACTGCTCAATGTGTAACACGCCATACACCACAAGCAAGTGACTTTCCCAAGGTATTTACAGTGAAAAAACCAACAGTCCATTGTGTCTTCCACATTCAAACATCAATATTCATTTGTAGAATAGGAAAGATGCGAAGTAACATATTTGTACAACACAGGAAAAGACATATGCGTAGAACTTCGGCACTCTGGTAGTATGTAATTTAATTTTTATTTTATTTTGATAAATCACACAGGGTATACAGTAATATTAACTGATGACGTTTCGAAACGTTATCAGTTAATATTACTGTATAACCTGTGTGATTTATCAAAATAAAATCTTATCTATAATGGAGTTATGCTCTACCACAGTGCCCAAGTTTTATACTTATTTCATTTGAATTTGTTTATTAGATATACCACACAGTCAGTGAAACAGTATTATTTACTGGATGACAAAGTTTAAAACATAATTCATTATTGTTCATAATCATACCAATTATAATCACACAACTTCGAAGCTTGAGTTTTATGGTTTTCTTCATTCTTTCCTATTTGTCGTCGTAGGGGTAGTAGAATTTTCCAGATGTCCAACTGGAAAGGTGTCGAATCATTCCTATTACACGTGCTTGCAGTTGATTCGATAAATAAAGCTTCCATTATCCATTCCTCCCTCTACACTGCTGTTACAGTAGATTTTATAAATGTCATCTTATCCCATCTTATTGTATGGCTGTATGATTGCATGTAGTGAGTGCCATAGCTGCTGAACTATTCTTCAGATTTCTTATCTTATTCGGGTCAACTAATCTAGATTGTTATACCCCGCTAATCTGACCTATGTATTTGACCTGACAATCATTGCAGGCAGGGTATTAGATAAACTAAATTTTGTTTAACTGGCTCCATAGGCGGGATCTTTTCACCGACAATTCTTGTTTCTAATCGAGTTTGTGGATTTGAATACCACCTTTATTCCTCCATTGTTAGGAATTCTACATAAGGGTTCCGAGGTTCCTTCCTCGTATGGAAGCACGCACTACTGATGATTTATATTCCCTATTGCTGGTGTTGTCATTATCCTGTGCATGTTTAACATGCATGTCGTCATTAATATTATTATCACTACCACTACTATTATTATTAATTCTATTCTTACATTTTCCTACACACATCCTGATTATTACGTTTTAAAGCTTCTCTTATATGCCTCACTTCCTGTCTTAGATTTTCCTTCGTACTACTTGGTTTTTGTGCCCTACTGTCGCTTAAACATTTCACCAGTCCTATTTTTACTGACAGGGTGAGATGATTGGAAATCCAAATATCGGTTTGAATGTGTGGGTTTCCTATGAACACTAGTGTTCAGTTTCCCATCTTCTTTCCTTTTCACGCTACAATCTAACATTGGAAGCTCTCCTTCCTGACTTTCCAATTCATAAGCGAATTAAATTGCCTCCGCCTTCGAGTTGATGCTTTCGGAAAATCTATTTATGTCCTGTGTTCCAAGTACAACACAGGAAAAAATGATTTAGCCAATACAGAACAGGTGCTGAAACTGAAACAGAAAACCAACCACTAATTTCTTTTGTAAATCATTTTAGATTCCATCAACAAATTAGAAGTTGAAGAAATTATTACTGCTACAACAGATTGTCTATTTTTGGTAACCTTTATCAATGGCCTGTTTAAATCACTCCGTTTGGGCTTCTCTCGTTTTCCTTTCATTTTGTCTATATTTGTTTCAGAAGGATTTTTCATTTCTCCTCTTCGTTAATTAATCTGTAGCTCCACTCTTGAAGATTTTTGTAGAAGACACCACACACAACATAATACTTATGGACTCTTGTCAGTAGCTCAATTCGCTATACTACTATCAAGAATTATTCAGTCACAGTCACAGTTCAACACCCCTAAAATCCCTGAAACGCCTTGTGTTTTAATCTGTTGCCTGAAGTCAGCTTGCGATTAAACATGAGTTATTGAAAGTCAAGAGGTACTGAGCAGGTTATTTCGTACTACAGCGGGAATATTCAGAAGTCAATGCCCAGTAACTGCAGGTTGCAAGTCAAAGTGCCTGATAATATATCCAATCACTAGGTTGAAAACAGGAATTCTAAATTCTGTCAAATTGCGATACAGCGCCAACGCCAACAGATGCCACTGATGGGTATTCCGCCTCTCACCCGACATAGTGAACCCCATCAGGCATGACTTCTGATTACAAGTTCAGTATATCCATCCTGAAACCAATCACTAATAGGTATGTGGATTGTAGTTAGTAGGGATTTGATTAATTTTAGTATGAAGCCATAAGTGATGATATCGCTTTGTGACGGAATCCCTAGCAAACCAAAGATTTGAATAATCAAGCGTCATTATTTTTGAGGGCCTTCAGTGCTCTTTAATGCTCCTCAGAAAGGATTTTGGGATACGACGTTGGTGAAATGAAGTATTGATTTGCAATGTCGACCAACTGGGATTTGAACCAGCTCTTGATGTCCTCCTCAACTAAATTTAGGTCAATCAGATGATAGAGTAGATTTTCGCAATGAGCCACGACATCGATTCTTTTGATAAATTTATTCGGAATATGAAAGTTAAATCTAAGGGAAAGAGCCTCGATTCAATTTCATTTCGATTTAACTTCAAACTCGACAGATTACAGATATTTTTCTCAGAATTTTCCGGGAAGCCGTTATGTAATTTCTCTTTTGTCAAGGATTTGGACAGATTTATAAGAACAAATTCTGCATATGTTGTGTTGAAGGTCTTGAATGAAATTGATGAATTTGATCCGGCATACTATATTCAAAATATTGACAGCATCATCAAAGGATCGGGCTTTCGGTTCTCAACTCCGAAATTAGTGATTCTGTTGACTCAATATACGATTTAGTGATAAGTCGAGGATTTCTGAGAGGGAGCGGTAGTTTGCACTTACGTATGGACTTGATGAGTTGGCGAGGAAAGCAGTGAGACTGCAAGCACTCATCGTAAGACTCCAACCTAGTTACTTCTTTGGATATTCCGCAACGAAATGTCACTAAGTGGTTCAGTGGTTTGAAAGATTCTGTGGGGAGGGGATTTTTCACAAACTACATACATTTATTCCGCCTTATGAATTTGAATAAAGCAAGAACAACAGTTTGTGCAGTAGTCCTTCATCGTCGATCAACACCACACCTGAGCCTTTGTTTGGTCGTACAAAGTGACAAACCTCACAAACTGTTGTTCTTGCTTTATTCAGATGAAAGTATGCCAAAGAGAAAAAAGGGGGAACATCATATGAACTAGTTGATTACAGTTTCTTTAAAACATACATTAATACCGTTGGCCTGAAATTCTCCAGCTACACAGACTCCAGACGACTGGTACATAATTCCACGTCCATACATTGCACCTTTCATCCATTGACCAGCGTATACATCACCTATGTAACAACATAATATAGACAGACACGTGTAAAAAAAGTAGTGTGGAGAAAAGAATGATTTACGTACTCACAGTACACTGAAAGCAAGTTTTACTTTGTTAATGATTTACTACTTATCTGCCTAAACAACTGACATCTAATCCGTGAAAAGCACACCACAAAACTGAAGTACTATTTACCTAAGAATTTATTATTATTATTAAAAGTCTTTTGAATTCATTCAACACAATAGTCAAGATTAATGTGGGACAACTACATCTGATTGGTAAGCAGTACACATATCTACAGGATTTTGCGTGCTGTTATATCAGTAACTACCATTGAACAATAATTGTTATCACTGATGTCGGGAGCATTCGCCCACCTATGCGGGTCTAGTCCCATTATACCTTGAACTTACAACAATTACTTTACAACCAAGCTGGTTAAAAGGAAAGGTATTCAGAGAAGAGTTACTTTCCTCAACTATATCACTCTCGAGCAGTACAACCGCATATATATGGGTGCGTACAGTTGAAGAGCCCCAAACTGGGACGAAACAGATGTCCAGTACTCCCAGGTTTTCCAATGGCTCTCTAACTGATGTCAGCTCATGATGAAATCCTTCAACCAATCAAACAAAATCCCGACAAAAACCCATACTTGAATATATATATATATATATATATATATATGCGGTTGTACAGCCTGAGAAGGAAATGACTAAAAAGATTAACTCCTCGCTGAACGTCTGTTTTATATTACTCAGTGGGGGTTTTTAATTCCCAAGCTATTTAAATCTGTCACTGAAGGTGGAAATCGAATGAATGCATCAATGACTATTGATTATTATTATTATTATTATTATTATTATTATTATTATTATTATTATTGTTCCCTTAGGTTCCAAGTGGAACATACGGCTTCAACAACACATCTCCACTTTGTTCTATTTTCTGCTGTCTTCTACAGCTGGGCCCACGATTGACCATATTCTCTCATTTCCTCCTCTCCAAACGATCTCCTCCATGTCAACCTAGGACGACACACTCGTCACTTCACATTTGGATTCCACTTGAGGACCTGGCGTGTGATGTCATTCGGCGGCCTCTTCAATGTGTGCCCGATCCATCTCCATTATCTCCTACATATTTGTTGAGCGATCGGCTCTTGGTCGGTTTGTTCCCATAGTTTCTTGTTGCTTATTCTTTCTGGCCATTTGATCTTCAGTATGGGGCGAAGGCTTCTGTTGATGAAAGTCTGCAACCTGTTGGAAATCCTTTTCGTGACACGCAGTGCAAGTTTCTGACCTGTATAGAAGGAACGACTTCACATTGGTGTTGAAAATGCGAATCTTGTTCCTTATGCTGAGGTTAGTGCAGAAGATTTCCAAACTGGTTTCAGGTTGATGAAGGCGTATCTTGCCTTTCCGATTCTGACATTGACAGCTTCATCCGTTCCGCCTGTAGTTGAATCTATGCTTCCTAGTTAAGTGAAGGAGGTAAGCTCTGTTAAATCTCTCTCTAAAACTGTATTCCACACAAACGACAACATACTGATAACAGAGTCAAGAAAGTGTATGTCAGCCGTTCATTCTATAGAAGTAGAACTACGATTCCATTGTGGATAAAATTTATTTTGATAAAGTTTCATAGTGTTATACAGTAATTTTTACTGATGACGTTTCGAGCACAATTTATTGCTACTCATAATCATATCAATTTACTCACACAGCCTTCCAACTTCGTTTACATGATTCCATTATTTTTCATCGCTTGATTTGATTGGTAGAAATATTTTCCATATTTCTGGTATGAGTGATGAGTCATTCCTATTGCACGTATTGAGTGAGTAACTTGATATGATTATGAGTAGCAATAAATTGTACTCGAAACGTCATCAGTAAACACTACTGTATAACAGTGTGAGACTTTATCAAAATAAATTTTTTCCATAATGGAATTATACTCTATCACAGTGCACAAGTTCTATTCTTATACCAACGAAGTAGAACTATATGATAACCTAAACGCTTGTGCCTCAAAATCGACCAAAAACAAATTAGATTCACATCATTCCACAGTATGTCCCTACTGAAACAAAATTCATGTATGACTGACTGTCATAAATGACAGCTTACGAGGTCGAGCAGTATTAGAGTAAGCACACACACATGCGAAGTGCTGATCAAAGATTGTTAGTTGACTTGCATTTTACTTATGACTATGAACTCACTAAAAATATGTCATGACGACTACATACGATAGCTTAGAAATAATATCATAAAATTTAGCAGCATCGGAAATATCTCCAACCATACCAAAGAAATAATTTACTCTGAATAACGAAAATATTAAAATGTTCGGAATGTATGTAAATAACACAAATGATTTTTAGTCAGTAATGAGTTCCAGCTGAGTCATAGGTATTGCACTACCTGGCGTCTACTCTATGCCACTCAACCCTGAAATCAAATAGATCACACTGCTAATAGCAACAGACATATGATTGCTGTCCTTTCAAAGCACTTGTCTGGATTTTAATTATACGGCCTTCTCAAAAAGGTTTGTGGTGAGATCTGTCTACTAGCCAAATTGGTAGACAGTAATTTACATCAATGTTTACGTTCTCAAGATTTGTCGTGAGAAAATATGAACAAAGACTGATTCAAAACCGACCACAGCAGACTTTGCGTAGGCGGATACAGTTAACATATAGATGATCTGACATTCAAGAAACAGTCACAAATAGATGAAAGATTAACTTTACGTGAGAAACAACCAATCAGAAGACTGTGTTTGTTTGCTTAACTGATCTATAATAATGTACATGAAAATATATAAATATGCTTTGATTTCCTTAATAAACGATCTGTTGCCTGGCCCTTGTCTTCTGTTGTTACAGGTTGACGTCAGTAAATTGCTATTGCCTACTAATGTAGCCAAATATTAAACTGAAATAAATAACAGATTAGCTATTGATCCTATAAGAAGTACAGGGGAATACTGGATGTACTTTTAAGATGCCATGATGGATAGAGATGGATAGAGGTCGTCTGAGGCTTGGAAGAACATGCAAAGTTAACAAACATTGATATTTGACAACTGATGGCCCATTTGAGCATGGTAATCTGTGAAAGGCTCTTACGCACAACCTGAAACAATACTTGACTGTTAGGCCTTGTGATCAGAATGTGTGAGATGGGAGCAGCTGTTGAATCTGTCAGAAGTTAGAAGCTATTCGACATCATGTTACCCATCGGCAGCAAGAGCCGTATTTTCAGTAAGACAGTCTGTAAGGTTGATGGTACACCGAGTACCAACTTACAAAGATGTATGGTATGCTCAGAAGAGCTGTCTGATAGCGTCATTGTTCTCTGTTCTAAATTACAGTTCTCCGGAATCAATTAACACTGGCCTACATATAAAAGAAGAAGTTCAATACTATTTCCAATGACATACTGAGAGCCAGAGTAGCTTATATCAACCTGGACCACTTCCCTCACCGTTGCAATGTAAGTTTCGCTATTCAACGACGATTTTACAACACCTCAGTATATACAGTTCTGTCTTTCTGAACTGAGGATTTCCAGTGATTGCTTAGTCTGTAGGATTGTTTACATCTTGTAACAAAATTATATACAAGAAATCTCAGGTAGATTCGAACGAGGTGCAGATCATCCTCCAGTATAAGAGATATCATCTTGGGATACTGGTCACGGTGGCTAGAACGTGTGCCACAAATGTTATGCAAGCTGCCTCTAGCCCTGGAACTATCTGAAACTGACGTCAATTAGAGAACCACTGGACAGCTCTGTTTCTTTGTCATTTGGGGCTCCTTAGCAGTACGCACTCATGATGTCATCGAAACCAAGACCTTCAGATTATGAGGCGGGGCCTGTTGACCATTCAGCCTCTGAGATAGAATCCAATGGCCCAGGAAATCTAACTTCTTTCCGTGTTATACGAAATGGATACACTAGAATACACACTGGAATAAAATACAGATGAATGTTGGCGACAATAATCACTTCCAAGCTGAAGAAAGACCAAGTGTAGAAACAGAATACAACTAATTGGGCGAATCCGACTAAGTAATTTGTACAAATCAATTGTGTAACTCCATAATGGATAAGATTTTATTTTGATAAATCACACAGTGTTGTACAGTTAAATTAACTGATGACGTTTCGAGCACAAACTATTGCTCATAATCATATCATGTTGATATCAACTTGATATGATTATGAGCAATAGTGTGTGCTCAAAACGTCATCAGTTAATATAACTGTACAACACTGTGTGATTTATCAAAATAAAATCTTATCCATTATGGAGTTATACTCTACCACAGTGCCCAAGTTTTATACTTATATCAATCAATTGTGTAGTTTAAAAATAATATAACTGGTTTGAAATAATTTTATTTAAATAAGCATATATTTTACATAACCTACTAGTTGTAATATCCTTCTGTATACCGAAACCTTCCTGTTTATCAGCAAGCCAATTGCCAAGATAAAGTGTACTCCAATCACTTGTTTTCCGATGTCGTTTCGCACATTTTGCTTCACTCTGTTGATTATTACTATTAGTAGTAGTAAGTGGGAAAGTCTCTTGACAACCATGACCCTCTCGAGTACCGTTTACAAACCAACCAGTATAAATATCACCATTTATACATCTATAAATCAAAGTAATTATGTGTAATTCAAAATTAAAGCATACCTTAAAGAGCCTATACCGTGTGGTCGACCATTTTTCCATTCGGCTCGAACATTGATAGAACCTTGAACTGTTTGAATACACAATTCACCTAATCTATTTTATGAAAGAATGAAATACACCAAAACAACAACAACGACAATAGCAAATGTGATCGATCAGACAGCGAACTTTTAAACGCAATAAAATAAAATATTACTAAAAACACCGTTTATTCCCTAAAAGGTGTTGATTTAATCAGTGACGACAAGTGAGGTGGTAGCTAACCGCCTTAAATGGTCAGATGTTATCCTCCACAATCCACTTCAGTTACGACAACCATACTCCCAAGTGATAACAGGATCGTTTGTACAAAAAACAAACATGCAAAGTCAAGTCAATTTTTATGCGACCCAACAGAATCACGCGTCGCCGAGGGAACTCCTCTCCAATACTTCATTTTCAAATATTTCCAGTCGCCCTATACACATTATCAAATAAAAAAAATATTGATTTATGGACAAAGAAGCATTTTTGATAGATTTTCGGTCAGAGGATTGTATGTAAGCACAGAGTGCCCCAAACATTTATCAATCTCATACAAAGGTTATATTGATAATCCCATGTCAAATGATCCACAGCGGAACGTTCAATGAAATCTTTGAAGTGAAGACAGGAGTAAAAAGGTCTGCTTACTATCACCAACGGAATTCTCGATTGTGATGGACTGAATCATGCGGTCAGAAGTAATCCGTTTGGTCGACAGGAGGACTCTAGATTACCTGGATTTCATGGGTGATTTATGCCCAATGTCGCAAAAACTCAAAAGTCTACAGGCAAAAATCAACAAGTTTGTAGAAGAGGTTGGCAGCGGAGACAGGACTTCAGGTGAACATAAAGAAGACAGAGGTGAGGAAGATAACCAACCAACAAAAAATCTAATCTTTTTTAAATTTTTATTATAGCTTGATTCCACACCGTATTTTGGTACAACTGTGGAATTTTCAGCATGGGATATCGGTAGCCCAAATTTAGCAGGCCGACCGTTGATATCGGGTGTGCGTCGACCGGGGATCGAACCCCGGACCATGTGCATGGCCAGCGAGTGTTCTAACCGCTGTGCCACCGACGCACAACAACAAGTACCAATCAGTATCAACGGAAGAAATTTGAAGGATATCACTTCTTTTACTTATCTAAACAGCATCGTTTCAACTACAGGCGGTAGGGATAAGGATGCCAAACCAGGACTGGAAAGGAAAGAAAGACCTTCATTAGTCTAGAATATACTGCTGCACTCAGTATAAAGAATGAAATGCGAATTTTCAACACTAATGTCAAGCTAGTTATTCTATATGGTTCAGAGACTCGGTGCGTCATCAAAAGCATTTCGAACAGGCTTCCGACTTTTATCAACAGCTGTTTTCGCTCTAAACAGAAGATCAGATGACGAGCTGTAAAGGATTATAAACAAGAAACTCTGGAGGCAAACCAACCAATAACCTATTGTCCAACAAATACGCAGAAGGAAATCGATTGGACACACTCTGATGAGACTATTAAGTGACATTGTGGAACTCAAAGGGTAAAAGACGAGCTGGACGTCCAACGGTGACATAGAGGAGATCGTATGAAGACATAATAGGGCCTATGGGTAGTCGTAGAGCAAACAAAAGAGTACTGTAGACAACAGGATAAAATGGTGATTTTCTGCTGAAGCTCTAAGTTCCACTGGGAACCAAAGGGAGTATTAATAAAATAATAATAATAAGTATGCAAATAAATGAACGGCATTCACACTGCAGTAGAATAGCAATTGGCATCACTATTTTATCATTTAGAGTACAAATCCAAACGAATCAACGGTAAAAGTGTATTTTCAAAGGTGAAAAGCTACCTATCATAACATCATTTTGTCTCGCAACACCTTAAGATAAGAAGAGAGAACTGAGATGATAAGAACTATCATTGCAATTTCAAGCTGATAAACTCCTGTCGAGCGGAGAAAACGAAACAATCTCTTCCCGCCTGTCAATAGTGTTTATCGAATTCAGAGAATGCGGAATTGTCAATGGTAGTTAAGTGCGGGAGGTCCGGGTTCGACTCCCAGTCAACACACTAGTAAACGATGCCTAGTTTTGCTAGTAGGTAATATGCCAGGAAAAGAAAAAGGAAGGTTGGACGTCAGGCTGACAACACCATCCCGTAGAAACAACACGCCACCACTACTTTTTTCCTTCTTTTTACATGACTTTTCATATTCTTCCAAAGATAACTTCATTAAATATGCCAATGATCTAACGATTTCTGTCCCAGTAGTTTCTGCTTCGGATTGTTCTTATATGAATAAATTCTTATCTGAGGTTAACACATGGTTTCACCTAAATGGTCTTAAACTAAATCCATCTAAATGTCACATTGTTGATTTTAGTTTCAGATGGAAACAAGACTTGCGTGGACTGATTCAGTCGCATGATTCCTGTAATATTGACAGCACTGTGATGATAGGGAGTAAAGCGAATATCTCTCATCTCACCATCACTTCCTGTCCGAATCTCTGTTGGTCATCTCATATCCCATTGATTTCTACGAAAAATTTTCATTTGACTTATTACATAAAGAAGGTGAGACTTTCTGATGGCAGAACTCGACCTCTTTTCTTACAATTTATCAATTCATATACTGTATCCATTCTTCTTTATTGTTCGCCTTTATTCTTCCCTGGACTTCTCAAAAAAGACTATGTCATATTACGGAAAACACTGAAGACTGTAAGCAGTCAAGGTTAGTGGTGTACCTTTGACTCAGCTAACTGACATTATTGTCAGTAGGCATTTCAATTCCTGCAAGCAATTGACTGAAGTTATCTTTCCTGATACCGAACATCCTCTCTACTTATTCTCAACTTTTGCCTTATCTCTATTCGGGTAAAACCACAAGAAACTTCATACGAATTTACGCTCGTACAACTAAATATAAAAATCCTACCACACCATATTTAGTACGGGTTTTGTGTGTCAGAAAAGAACTTATAGACTTTTAAATCAGTAACTGAACTGCAAAGTATACGCAAACACTATTACTTGCAATTAGTAGTGTTCTCTGAGCTGGTTGGTTTAGTTGCGGAGCTTTCGCCGTCCTTCTGGACAACATCCCCCTTCAGCGCAATTTTTAGCATAAAGTGAACTGATTTAAATTTTCCATGAGTGATAGAATTCCGTCTCCCGGTAACCATCTTTACATATGTATTGATCATTGGACACTATTACTACATGTAATATCTATGATACTATCTACTTAAACTTCACTATGTTTCCACCAACATTCTGTTTTTGGTGATGTCTTTATCAATATTATTATTACGATTTTAAATTTTATGTATGTACATATTTATAAAAGGCGCTAAATTGTTGCAATATCTATAAAAAGGCTGGAAATTTCATTTTATATAATTATTACTGTTTGGAATGAAATTATTATTATTATTATTACTGAAACTTCAAAAAACAACTTGAAGCATAACAACACTTTGAGATTATGTTTTGTAGTAACGTAGTCAGCATGTAGCCGGAAGACATTTGCATTGACATTGAATGAATGACAATTACTGAGATATGAGACAAAACTTTTCCCCCTTGTATACGTTGGATGTCGAAGTAAACAGGCACATATACACTTGTGAATGCATACACATCACTTACCCATTAAGCTGATTCGACTGAAATTCTCCTGTACAAAATATAGATATCACTTCATTTTCAATATTCTTTACACCAATATCCAAAGGACCAATTAATGAGAGAAATAAACGTACTGAATCCGGTAGTTGTGGTAGTTGTCCCGCAGAATAATCATTATCATCATTGTAATTATTCTGTGGATGACAGATTAAAGAACTTGTTTCAGTCGAGTGTGTTGATTGTTTACAGGAGTGTAAGGAATGCAGATTTTTTGCTGGCCAACACATTTTACCACTTCCATCCAGTCTACCATTCAGCCAAGAACCATAATAGGCGAAGCTTTCAAGTGGGCCAGATCGAAATAAATGATATAGGCCTGAAAGGGTGTACAATGTTTTTAACTGAAGTAGGATGATAGCAGAATGATAGCAAAGACACATACAAAAAAAGCACACGAAACAACTTTACATCGGAATCCAAGCTCAACTCTGAACTTCATTTCTTTAAATATTTTGTTTAGAAGGTCGACCTAACATAGTATTATCAGCATTTTCATTGTTGGATCCCTTTGAGAAGGATAACAAGGAATTGTACCAGTGTTACAAACGATGATGAATTGAAGCGACTCAGGCAAGTCCTCGATCGAAATGGATACCCTACAAGATTCATTAAGAAAAACATCAGAGCAAAGGAGAAGAGCCTGAAGGAATCCATATGGTGTCGAAGAAATTGCTGCTATGAATGTTGGATTTAAAAGTGTTACAGAGACTGAGATTCTGAAGAACCATATATCCAGATCATTGAGGAAAGCATTTTTTTCACTGAGGTACGGTCCCGTTCCTACACTGGGCAAATGATCAGTGTGACTGATGAAGTGCTTGTTTGGGTAACTTTAATGTGTGTTTATAAAGTCACCTGCTTCTGTGGAGCTAGTTATATTAGCCGCACAAAGCGCACACTTACCAAACTCATTTTAGAACACTGTCCAGTATTATTACTAAGAGGACAATGCAAGTCAATTACTGGATCAATTATTGATCACCTGGTGAACTCAGGCCATACAGGTGCGCCAGAGTCCTATTCCACAGTTATCTACATAATAAGGCCGAATGGTACTAAGTGTTATGCTTCCGCACTTGTGCATGATGAAGTTAGTGATTCATCCATGCAACCTTGAAATCTGTGCATAGAAAAGGTTTGTTCAGTCCTTTATTCAATCACGGTCTTGAATCCATTTTCTAACTTGTTTGGTTCCATCATTGTTATTAGATAATTGGAGGCATTCGGCAGGAAGCCCTGCCTGACCTGGGTTTCGTGATTCTCCCAGTGCTGCAGTCAGAAATGTTACAACCGAGCTATTCGAGCTCGCAATTGTTCTTCCATAGGATTGTATCAGATACTTTGATTGAACACTAGATAGTAAATAACTAGTGTCACGAGTCTACAACTTTGTTTGGTCCTACAGGAGATCAATCGCGAGTCTGAGTAGCTCAGTGGTAACGTTTCTGGCTGCAGCACTGGGTGACACGGGTTCATGAGTTCCTTCAAGGTTGCAGATACGCCTTGCTGACTGACTGGTGAATGCCAACAACAAGCACGAAACCTAGGGGTCCAAGAATTGCTGCTGATTGTTTCCAACTACTTAATAACAACAGTTCAGAGTGGAACGTGATGGCGAGCCACCTAGCGGCATGCTGACCACATTGCCAACTTGACCGACAGAATTTAGTCTGCACCAAACAAAGGACTAGACGTATAACATTAGTTGCTTGTTACCTACTGTTCAATCAAAATAGCACCATCACTATTATCACTCTCTTATATGTTCCTTTGTCTCTTTCACTAGGTATTTCTTTTTCTTACTTTTTTCGAAACCCAAGGGAGTAATAGGAATCATATTAATAATAATAATAAATATAATAAGCACTGGGTACTGACTGACTGTGCGGCGATAGTATGGCCAGCCAAGAATGAACTTTTACCTCATTACTGTTCTAAATCGATATGACAATGTAATGTTGCATCTAACAAAAAGTACAATTATTCTTAGTGTGTAAATATATAAAGACTAACCATAAATCACTGATTAGACTTACAACAGCGACGTTCACGAATAGAATTAGATTCTACTGTATTATCTTGAGGAGATATACTCCCATTTCGACTAACGAATAAATCACCACGATTTGAGCATACAGATTTGATAGTTTTCAACAAAACAGCATGCCATAGTGACTGTAGAAATGAAAAGTATTTGTTTAGCAGAAGTTGAATGAAAATCGATTATATATATATATATATATATATATATATATATATTCTTTTACGTCCCCAGTGGAACATAAGGCTTCAAGCTGAAGGGGTTGCTAGCCTCATACTCAACCTTCCATCTTTACCAGTAATATTACTGGCTTAGCGAGGTAAAGGAATGCATCGGCCGGTGATCGAACCCGAACAACCTGTGTGGTTAGCGAGCACTCTACAGCTGTGCCACCAACGCAGTTTATATATATATATATATTAGGTTGTTATTGTTGTTGTCTAAACTCCCTCCTTGTTCCAGGCTGAGTTACACTTATGGTGTAGAGGTTGGTGATACCACCCAGTTGATCAGGTTGGAGTAGATGGTGCAGAAATTAAAGCCAGGATCAACTGACTGAAAGTCGTGTGCTTAAACTAAACTCCATACATATGTTAGGTAGTAGGAGGTAATCTGCAGGAAACCTTCTACCTAGATTTACTGGCACTCGTCAGCAAGGCATATCTCTTCCCCCGAGAGAACTGACTTCCCATCGATGAACTGAACTTGCATCACCACAGATGCTAGCTAAAAAAGTTATCATTAAGCTATTCGAGGTCACAACTGACTTCCTGGGGGACAGTGATTGAGGAATACGGTCCAACCAGTGTCATGTGTTAAGTCAGTCAAGAACAAAATTAAGGACTAGACACATGGTCAATATATTTTTTTTTCAGCTATTTAATTAGACCTCAGCACGGTACGTAGAAACTTTGCCTAGTTTACTAGTGAGCCCAAAGTTCGGTAAGGAAAGAAGGAAGGCTGAAACTGGGGATAGCAACACTACCCCCCCCCCTCCAAAGAAACCCTACGGCTACTGAAACTTCAAAGAGCAGCAAAACTGAACTCATTCTCTGATGGATTCTGGAAGACTCCTCAATTCGAGGACGTATGACGCTGGTGGGTGAAAGCCTTCGAGAAACCAGTCAGCCGATATATCTTCTTTAGAGGAAAGAGAAAGTATGCGGACATGGAATGTCTGCACCACGCCTAAGCCTGGCAAGAATGTTCAGATTGCAGAAGAAATGAAAAGACGTGGTACACAACTGTTAGGAGTTTGTAAGAGCAGATGTAATGGAGGCGGACTCTCCAGAATGTTAAGTGGAGAGTCAATAATCTACTCCAGTCACCAAGAAGACAACCACGAGCACACTGATCGAGTCACCATCATGATGTCACCAACAGTATGAAGGCCCCAATGAAGTGAGAAAAAATCTCCTCTAGGATCCTCACCACAAGATTCAACTCAAAAGGAAGGAAAGTCATAAATATACAATATTGCATACCCGAAAACTATGCAAACCCAAAGAACAAGAAAGACTTTAACAGACAACTGTAAGTAGTAATAGACAAGACCGAGGCCAGATGGCGGTATCAGAATTCTAATGGCTGATATAAATGTCAGTCAAACTCGTAACAGACAACATTGGATCGTGAAGTGCTCGGTGAAATGAATTAGAACGGAGAGAGGCAGTGTGTATAAGGATATCTACAACGTGACGTGTGTCTTACCATATAGGTACACCAAAAATCAGATAGACTTCATCCCAATCCCAAGAAAGTGGAAACAGCTTGCTGGACACAAAATCGAGAAGAGAAGCAGATGCGAGCTCAAAGCATTATCAAGTGCAAGGAACTTTCAAAGTCAAGTTGAAAGCGTTCAAAGGAACTGGAGATAGACTGCAATCCGAATTAAACAACAGACACACTAACTGCAGTCATTAAAAATTCGGGAACATCAAAATAACCTCACTGAGGTTAACTGCATAAAAGAATACTGAAATCCTCTGAAAGCGACACGGAAACTTTTACAGATATATTAAACAATAATAAGGGGCAGGACAAGGAATGACTCACTACAGATACCTGGATGATGATACAGGATACAAATATGATAGGATCCCACACACTTTGTTATTGTTCAATTATCTTAATGACTGTTAATGTCGCATATGTGGTATATCATCATTTCCCACGCATTTTGTTATTGACTATTGCGACCAGTTATTTCAAATACTGTTAGCTGTCTGTATTGGTTGTAAAAATGTATAAATACCATTTCCTAAATAAGTTTCTTTGTCGTAGTTTGTCGTAGTTGTTGTACTACAATATACAGTCAGAGACCAGACGCAGATAGGCATATTAGTCAGGCGCAGACAGAACAAGGCGACAACGTCCTCATTTAATTCCGCTACAGTTATAACAAAAGTGCAGAGATAAAATCAGAAGATGACTTCACCTGGAACAGACTGAATTCAGGGAAGCCAAGTCAAGCACAGTCAAAATCGCATCACTAAGCATCATCGGAAAGAATTTAGAATGACAGTCAACTCTTACTCAACTTCATAGGCTTTGAAAAAGCCTTCAACAGTGTCACCCACGAAGTAATCTGGCAACTGTCTCAACAGTCCGTAGTGAGGTGCCACTAACTTTACAAACCTCACTCAACTGAGACACGATAATGCAGCATACACAGGATATTCACGACAGGAATTTCACCGAAGCCTTTGAAGTGAAGACAGGAGTAAGACAGGTCTGCATATTATCACCGAAGACCTTCCTGATTGTGGTGAACTGAATCATGAGTCGTGAGTAGTGAGAAGACGAGTATATGTCGGAGGCAGGAGTCTAAAGGAAACAGCCTTCTTCACTTACCTCAGTAACATCCTCTCAACTACATGTGGCACGGATGAGAATGCCTACGTCGAGCAGACTTGGAAAATCAAAACAGGCACACAGTTATCCAAAATCTGTGTGGAGATTTACCATATTCAGCAGAACGAACAAAATCCGAAATTTTAAACATGATTTCAAGTGGGTGGTTCTATAAGTTTCAGCGACTTTATGCGCGCAAACTTTCATCGACAGCTACATTCGCTAAGTGATACTGAAGACAAGATGGCCGACCGGAAAGAATAAGTAAGCAAAGAACTTCGGCAAGTAGTGAACTAGCCAGCAACCTATCGCTTATGCAGCACATATGCAAAAAGAAACAGAGATGAAGTGAAGATATGCTGAGAAGACATTCAAGTGACATCACACGTCACACCCTCGAGTGGAACCCAAATGCAAAGTGCAAGGGGTTGGACTTACGAGATTATTATGTAGAGAAAATGAAAGCTTGTGAGCAGTTTTGCAGTCGATTGAAGGTGATGGCAGAGAGCCGACTACCATGGAGACGTGGGGCTGAAACTTCATCATATTATTTGAACTACAACATCTTTTATATTCATAGTGAGTACCACGCAGTTTCCTCAATAGTAACGTGGCAGATGAAATTACAGACGGCATATTTATTACAGCTTTATTATGAAACAAAATATGCAGCAATTCCTTCTAGAAATGACAAATATCATGTACGCCCACGCCCGCACGCATGCCGGAGGACTGAATAACATAATAAACAATGATATAAAATAGATGCCACACTTACGGATACAAGCTTATAGAAGCCTTCTGGTGTTCGAAGCTCAAATTCAGAACTGAAGATAGAAAAAAAAAACATTTATTGAAACAATTTGATAAAAATGATGGCAGCAAACAATTTAGATAACAGAATATCAATTGAAAGAGATAGATTATTTTTGAATCTTGAATAAAATGAATTAATTCACGACTGAAACAGTTACAGACAGTAAGTACAAATAATACGATCATATTTATCTGAGAGGAATTACTGTTGTAAGAAGTGACACAGTAGCTGAATCTAGATTAAGCATATTTCCTGGATTCTAAAGATATCAATGCAAAATATATATGTGTTTATATGTCTGTGACCATTTTCCAAGAATATCACAAACAATCTCAAAAAAAAATTGACTCCCAACATCTCTAGGACCACAGGCCAGACAATTTACACTCCTGAACTCCGTTCACAGATCAAATATTGGTGACTTTATAAGTTAGTCAACATTTTAGTTTTGGCTTGCTACAAATTAAATCTCATTCTCGCTAGTAGTGTTCGTCTGGAAGTGCTAATAGATGTCCCAGTCCTCTCAGCTAATGAACGTCTCAAATCCCGATAGATAAGTGAATTTCCTAGGATACTACTTATCATCACTCTACGGTCTTACATTGTGAACATTACTCAGCCAGTGACCTTATAGTATGCGAGCAGTGCTTATCAAAAGCTGACAACTTCCTCATGGCTTCCAAATTACTAAGACGCGTACTAGAAAATACCTAAATTTTCGCCTAGAGTGTACAGAAAGAACACAACAAATGAATAATTTTTTAAATACATTAAACTGTTTATTACTCATATACGAGAAACCAGGATTGCCGGGTAACTTTGATTTGAACTCATGTAGAAGACGCGGTGTGTTAACACACCATGGCTGCAAAGCACATAGTTTTTGCTCTTCACTACAAGATGACTTTTTAAAAAAACTAACTATACAAGAGTCATAGATTCAAAGTGCTCTTTTTTTCTTTTCATTTCAAGCACTGTTTTTATCTCAGTGTCTCTTACAAACTCTTTTCCTTGCAAGCGTCACTAGAATACAGAGACTGACTGATTGACCGAATCTCAACACGGAACTGTTGCACTAGAGTGCAACAGTTCAAGTTACCACACACCTCATGTAGCACACAGGTGTAGACAAAGGAAAAGAAAAACGAGGTTCAAGAAAAATAAGCAGAAATGCGAGGGAGAAAGAATAGTAACATGGAAAAATATGATCGTTTAGTGGACGTGGAGGGGGGGTCACAAAGTGTGAATTCATCTGCGTCATTGACACCGATTTTGAGCCATATCACTAATAGTCTCCAATCATTGGTTTTTAGCATCTAGAGGAACTAAACCTGGCAGTCTACACCTCCCTAAGGAGATCAAACCAACTGTCAAATACTTCATGGATTGATTCCAGGTTTCGGTTTGACCACCTGTAACCCTTTTCCAACGTAGTCTTATGTCGTCGAGGGAGGCGATGGCTCAACATGCTTAAAACATGTCATAGCCATGTCAATAGATTTACTTTCACAACATATTCGATTAACTTTCCCTCCTTACTATGCACTCTATGTCTAATCTCAATATTATTCACCATACTATACCGCTTAAAATAGGAGGTGGAGCGTAAACCATTTGCGGTCAAATAAAGCTAGCCTTTTCATATTTTCCTCTTTCAGCAGTCGTGTCTCCCGGTCATAAAGGAGGACAAAGCGAACTGCTGAGCAGCCGGGTAACACGTCTACGCCAGAGATGGCGTAAGTCGGCAAATCCCACACGAGACTTTTGTATTCATGCTGAGATTTCGTCAGCAATCAGTTCGTTGGGGTTGATACAACTTCCTAAATAAGTGAAGTGGTCAACACGCTCTACCACTTCTTCACTCCAGCCTATCTTTAAGCTAGGAGTCAGTGCAGTCCAGTCATGCGGCATCATCTTACATTTGACAGGAGTGAATTGCATGCCAAACTTTCGAAGATCGCTACTTAAGGTGTTCAGAAGACTCTACATTTTATCAGTGTCTTCACCTAAAGGACAATATCATCCACATACTCTACGTCTATAAGACTGTCCCCTGGTAACGAGTGAATCCCTAAGTTGCTTGAGTCAGTTAGGGCCAATCCCACTAGTATATCTATAATGAAATTAAACAAAAATGGGGATACTAAACATCCCTGACATACACCGTTGGTTGTCATCACTTAAGAATGACAACTCTCTATAAACTCTTAGAAGAATATAAAAAACTTGTAAAGTAAACAGTAAGAATGATACAACACACTGACCAGTAGCAGAAGTATGTGGACAAAATTGAAACGGAAAATACAAAAATAAGAACACTTGAACTTAACTACATTAACTTTAGAGTATGAGCTTCGAATGAGGAGCATATTCTTAGGTACTTTTTTTCAGTACTAATAGTATAATAAACTTACTCACTTAGTTTTTCATCCATTTCAATCCAAATCAATTCAATTGGCCAAAAACGAAAGGAGAATTGTGACGTTAAACGGATAAATAAGCCATCGTTGAATAAAATCACATGTGGCGGTTTCGCTGCCGACTGTAAACACTTCAATGAGAAAGTTTTCTCATAATCACTGAACTGGTTTAAGTTGAATACACTGTCAAAATCTTTTGTCGTTGACGGTGAACTCCGTGTCAGAGAAGTGAGTGGAGAAGGTAAAGAAGTAGTCTCAGTTGTTGTTGTTCCTGTTCCCTGAGTATTATCATGGTCATCGTACAAGTGTTTGATTTCCATTGGAATTTCAGAATATATAAAAGGATGTAATGCATTGGTGGTATTGCTAATACTTTTTTTGCTGTTTTGATTAGAAGCAACTTTTTTAACAGTGATTGAATGAACACGACTATCAAGAAGTACATATCGATTTGGACGAAATAATTGTACCTGGTTGTTTTTTATTTTTTCCAAGAGAAGTTGAATAAGGAAACGTGGAATAGAAAAATTAGGCATATTGATACATACGATAAATAAGATAAAAGTATTGTCCTAAGTCCTTCATACGCTAACTAGTGGATTTCATTGTCACTTCCTGATTTTTCCAACAGAAACCATTACACATGAAAGCGAGAGTAAATTGTTTTAAAGTCCAGGTCAAGAAATGTAAGTGTTGCTAGGAAGCGGTGATTGCATCTGCCCACACTAAACACCGCGCCTTAATTAGTCGCTACTGTTACACTTCACTAGTCTCAACAATACCATTCCTAATTTGCCATAATATCTGAAAAATTCTTTGTCAAACTCACTTAACTGTCATCCGAATGTTGTCTTCCCTTGGAAAATTGCACTTTATACAGGTGATTTCACCTTCTTTTGTAGTGTGAGGTTCTCAAGTGTGGTATGATGTTCCCTTTGGACCATCGACTTTAGCAAATTTAGGAGATGTGACGACCCTACTGATACTTTAGGATAGAAGTATTAGTAATAGCAGAAAAGGCCGTTTATATAAGTATTTGTGTGAGGATTGGTTAGGATCCGACGAATGATATTGCCTAACTTATTCTAAAAAAAGAGCATCGAACACCAAGCAGAGTTCACATTACTGCAGTTCATTCGGCAGTTTATCGGTGGGACTGTAGATTTATAATACTTTGGGTTTTTGTATCTGTGAAACAGAAACTTTTACGCGCTGAAAATTTCCTACGGCTTTTCATGCTTCGTCATCACTGTCTTCGCAGAACTGTATACACTCGGTGAAGAAATCATGTGAATAACTTTGATGTCTACAGGTTTACGTTCCGACACAATGTGTACGCAACAAGAAACTCCATCAGAGTTTCGGTTACTGGGTTACAGGCTACAAGTGACGTATCTCAAATCCACTGTTCGTTCGCCTTGTTGCCGGTTGAATGAAGTAAAATAATGATCACTTCATTTCGGATAAAAAGTCAACTGTGCTACCATTTAGCATCCCACAGTGATGCGACTCAGAGACTATTGGCACCACCAAATATGGTTGACAGTCCACCGTCATGATGATCGTGGTATGCAGTTTTATGCCTCCTTTTACTAACAACAGGTAACAAAATCGATAAGGAAAGTGTTTGTCAAACTGTGACACTGTCACGACAGACCTATCTTCACTGTATAACATCAAATAAACAAGCTAATATGGTAGTGACGGGGATTGTTTGAATGTTTTATGCGTTTGAATATATTCACCCACACTGTCACTGTGCAACTCTCTCTCCATCTATTGACTTTACTTATTTGGTAACATCTAAAAAGCCGGAATTTAGGAAATGTCATTTTTCGCGTATTATTGTGCGAATTATTACAAATGATGCGTTTCTTGGTTCATATTGTACTTTAGAAAAATAAGACCACCTATACAACATATGTCCAATGTACTTAATAGAAAAATAAACACCCGTAAATCACATGATTCACGTGCAACATTTCATCTTGTACACAGCTAATAAGATAACGAAAAAACGGTCTTGTTTAAACCATCTGTGAAGTTGATGGCCACGATATAAACATCATACATAGCTGGACAACTCTATGTGACTAGCAATAAACGCATACCTTTATTTGTCTTTATTCAGCCTTCCTGCAGAAAACAACAATTATTATTGATCTTGTATGTTAGAAATATTCAAAGTCGTTAAATGAAGACAGCGGGGACACCAATTCAGATTTGCTTACAATGAACAGAACAACATCAAATACTGGGCGATTTCCTAGCAAACTCTCTCAGGCCCAGTCGGATAGTTCAAAAACAAAAACTGTACTGCAACCTTTTACATGTGCATGTCTTTCCTTGAACTACAGGAACAAACTTAATACACATAAGAAGTAAGCGTTTAGAAGAGATAAAAACTGAGTAGATCAATCCATGATAATTATTACAGTAAATTTGGTGAAAAAAATTAATAACCATTGATTATTTATTATTATTGTCTCCTTTAGTTCCTAGAGGAATACAGGGCTTCAGCCTCATGTATCCAATGCGTTCGGTTCTCTGCCAACGTTTTCACCTGGCTTCACGTCTGCTTACATGCTTTCATCTCCTCTTCACATCACCTTCTCCACGTTGTCACCCTCACAATGACGACGACCAACTCGCCGCTTCCCAATTCGGGTTCAACTCGACCAATGGTCTGGTGTGTGATATCACTCACTTGATGGTTTGTTTTCTCAGAGTATGGCCAATCCACCTCCATTTCTTCCTGCATATTTGTTTCACAATTGGTTCCTGGTTGGTTCTTTCGCAGAGATCTCTGTTATTGATCTTTTCTGGTCATTTGATCTTGATTACTGAATGAAAACAGCTGTTGATGAAGGTCTGTAGTTTGTTCGAAGTGCCCTTCGTGACGCACCATTGATAGAGTTAATTAATCTCCAGATAGACTTCACAGAATTTTTCGCTTCCACTAATATCCCTTCTTACAATCGTGAAACATTTAATGAACACTTGAAAGACTCGATTATTGCCTAAAAACAACTTTGCACTGTTCTGTGTAAAAGAGATGCGACAGCTACCAGAAGGAGAGTATTGAAAAAAAAGAAATTGCTTGCCATAAAAGTTCAGAAGAGATTCGTTTTATCAATTATTGTCATATATAATTGACTGATATGCACGTAGTCTCTTTGGATGCTCAATTCGATTGCCTGCTGTCCATCAAACTGATAACTAGCAAACTAATTGATATACGTCTATTTCTTAAACTCTCAGTTGGTGTTTAAGAATAGGATTCACTTCGCTTATTCTACGAGAAGGTTAAACAAGGGTGATATATTACTTCTGAAATAATTTTTTTATTGTTAACTCTTCTTGTGTTTTAATCCCACTTCACTCCGTTTCTTTCACACAACGGCTAAAAGCCTGCACCTGGTGATCACAGTTAGTCATAACAGCACCAACGAACATAACAACACAAGCGCAGCTACTTAGTACTGAGGTTGAGTCTTGAAATCTGCAGGTTGGACAAAACCTTCTGCTGTTTGATCCGGTTTAGAACTCTTAAAGTAACTCCTAGCAGCTTTCCTTCTTGATAAAGCCTATAAACAACGACGTCCACACCTGGATGTTTAACTTTTAGTGGTAGATCCGACAGTTTTGTGCAAACACCACAAAAAGATAACTCCATTATGGATAAAATTTTATTGTGATAATATCACAGTGTTATACAGTAATAATATTTACTGATGACCATGCTTTGAGCACAGTTTATTGCTCTTAATTATATCAAGGTACTCACGCAACTTTCTTGCTTCATTTATATACACACATAAACTCACTAGTAGAGGGAATAAAATTCACATTTGAATCGGAAAATGAACAAGGAGAATTAGCTATGATGTTAGATTGTAAAATAAAACGAAAAGAAGGTAAACTGCACACTGGCGTTGATAAAAAGCCAACGCATTCTAATAGATATTTAGACTTTAATTCATCTCATCCGTTAACTGTTAAGGCAGGCTTAGTTAAGTGTCTAACAAACCGAGCAATAGCACTAAGTAGTACAAGAAAAGACCTAAATGATGAAATAAAACAGATAGAAGAGGCGTTGGTGTTAAATAACTATCCTATAAAATTCATTAGGAAGATCAAAAAAGGTCAAAAGCAAAATAAAAATTATGGTGAAACTAATAATGATAACATAAATAAGAAATATAAGGCATCTACAGTTTTACTATATAAGGAGGGGACATATGAGGCCCTACGTAGGATTCTCAATAAAGCAGGAATTAGGGTGGCATTCAAACCTACAAACTCATTCAGAGACAAGCTCTGTAGGCTAAAGGACCCGGTGGACCCAATTAAACAAAATAATATTATTTACAAAATACTTTGCAATGACTGTGAGATCAACTACATAGATCAAACTAGTGGATCAGGAGTAGTGAGATTATCAGAACATAAGAATTTAGCTGAGGTTAGAATGATTGATCCCACGAAGATAAGTAATTTAGAAAAAAGCTCAGTGCTACATTGCACTGCATGCATTAACACATAACCACACAATAGGGTGGGATAAAGTCAAAATTCTAAAAAGTAATATAGGTAGATGGAGAGAGAGAGATTGACTGCTGAATCCTGGTTCTTCGAGTCTACACCCAGCACATGCAACAGAAATGATTCGACGCAAATACCAGAGGTATGGAAGATATTATTGCCAGTCAAATCAGAGGAGGATAATAAATAATCTTAAATTGTATTCTATTTCAATTCACGTACATTATAACATTCTAACAAGTTACTTAATTTGACTATAAAAACATCTTATTTCCCATCTGATTGTATTTTATTGATAACACTAATATTATTTCTGAATGTACTTTATGTACTTTGTTTAAATGTCTAATCGATTTTTACCCATGTATATAAATGAAGCAAGAAAGTTGTGTGAGTACTTTGATATGATTATGAGCAATAAACTGAGCACGAAGCGTGATCATCAGTAAATATTACTGTATAACACTGTGATTTTATCAAAATAAAATTTTATCTTTAATGGAGTTATACTCTACCACAGTGCCAAAGTTTTCCCCTTATACCACAAAAAGATATTTCCATGTATCACAATCCATCATATTTTTATAATTACCATTAAAATTAAGAGTAAACATGTAACTGTCAAGTGAGATGCAACCCGACAATAGGCTGTGTGCCTCATAAACAAATCTACAACTGAAAAGTCGAGAATGGTGACTAGATACTCGAGAGATTAAATGTGAGAGGACAACTGGATGATCACATTTACGTCATGAATGAATGCTCCACATATACCATGCGCATCTGCGTTGCGACATGCTACGAGTTCTAGACAATGAAGTTTGTTGCTCTACGTAGGACATGGACATTGAAAACAAAAAATACGCATTCTGCAATTTGGATTCAATAAACCAATTATGCTATTCTATAAACATTAATCTTTAAACGACAATTAAAGAGCATAAATTTGAAAGTAATTCAGCTTTGCTAGCAGGAGAAGACGAGATTAATTTTCGAAGAACTTTACACAAAAGTGCCATACTTTGTAAAGCATACAATAAAGTCAGAGGAAAAAAACTATAGTAAACGGAAATTTATCGAAGAGAAAAACACGTTAAAATGTATAATAATGAGAATAAAACAGATTTCGATCACAAAGAGTGAATGCAATTGTGCCATTGAGAATGATTTTGAGCCACCACCTTATCAAAATCAAAGTGAACTCACTTTAATTTCTGTAGGTAATGTTCTCCAGACACTAGCTGTTAGAAGATCCTGAGACATGTGATCTTGTGTATGTTGCTGGTGCATTATTATCTCTTTTCCTAATCACTGTAAAAAGTACATTTGGTCTTCGTTAAATCCCAGCTTTCTATCTTCATATAGAAAAAAAAAGAAACGTACAAAGGATCTATAAATATTTGTCATTTTACTGAGAAATATTCTCAGTTAAATTGAATCATGCATACTTTAATGAAACAAATAATAACTAGTCAAAAATAAGTGATTTGACCAGTAGGAGTTCTCTACTTCTACATGTCTTAAGTTTACACTCCCTTTCATTGCTTAACATTATAAACTACTTACTTGACTACTTCAAACAGTTTCTAAGATATGAACGAAGAAGTTATACGTAAACAACCTCACAAGAATACAGGACTATGTTTGCAGGGAAAATTAGTGAATACTTTCACAACAAATAACGTTTCACAGTGTTCACTTTAGCATTTCATTGTAAGCCAGTGGCAAAAGAAACGCTAAGTTGGTGATATCTATTCCACCACCGATTTCACGTGATTTTGTTTTTAGAAGCCAACATACTTTTGACAGTTTTAAGGTATAAATATATTTCATTCCCAGGCTAATCTGAATAATATCTTTCTGAGTTTATTAAATCAAAATTTCTGAAAAGAAATCAGTGAGAAATAATGTTATGATGTTATAAGGAAAACTTTGAAATACTTATGTTTCCGTATAACAGGATTTAAATAGGAAAAAAATAAAAATAAACATGCGTTTGTAGCGCCTACGTCTCATTCTCATATTGACAAAAAACCGTATTCCTTATAGCTTTTCATCTTGTGCACTGGAGTGATCAATCATATACTGGATTACATGCAATTTGATCATAATCTGTAATCGAATTGCTTTTTTATTTGGTGCTGATAGCAGACGTGACCATTGAACCTCAAAAACCTACTTGATATTACTCTGGGCACAGTGGATTCGAAGTTCAGTGAAAACAGGAGCATACTGGGGTGCAAGTATATCCAGTTGACCAACCGCAAGTAAGGCGAAATACGCGTACTTCTAATCACTGTTCAGTAAAATATAGTATCTTTTCAGTCATTAGATCGCAAACATCAAACTCGTAATTATCACCGGAAATTAAATCACAAATTTGTCTGACACGTCAAAAAAAGTAAATCATATATATATATATATACATATATATGTATATATATATATGATTTACTTTTTGGTGACAGCTTTCAGATCCTGGGCATCCACACTAATACTTATTCATGTGTTCTTTATCTCAAATTCATTTTGTCCTATATGATATCATTACATTCCCGTCACCCTGTTTTAATTGTGCTTCTAAAACTGACAACTTCGAATGATTCATTTTCACACATAGTTGCAGGTTGATACATCGGTTAGTCATTCAGTCACGAAAGCAATATGCCTCTAAGACTCCTTATGTGTATTTATGATGAAAGTAAATTATCTTTGCTAAATTACTTTGATAAAGTTTACCAATGGTAACTATGAGAGTAGACATCAGTGACTTCTGTGGTTTGAAGATTGATAACACATCACAGCTATATTAACCATGAAAATTGTTATTGCTATGTCGACTTCTGCTGGGATTATTCGAGTTAACAATAATAATTTGCTTTATTCCAAAACAGTACATGTGATACAGAATGGAATTCTCAGCATTGAGGCAAAACTATTTATATTTCCAAATGAAGTACCGTTTGACCATATGAAACTAGTATATTTATTGTTTGTAGAAGACATTCTATTCCACGTAAGACATTAACCTTTTGTTTATTCAACTTCACTAATTCTAAGTACTACAATGAGAACTAATTATACATAAAACACAGAAAGTCATAGATTCTTTAGAGCGAATGAATTAACTAATAATATCTAAGTCATTGGGATAAGTAATTTCTCCGAGGTGTAATAAACTAATGTTTGAAAAGTGTCAGCGATTTGGTTTGAAGTCGACAAAAGTAATATAAGCGTATTCAATCCGTTTAATACTGTGAAGCCCTTAGCCTTTCGCTTTTTTACTCCCGTCTTCTTATTATTTACTTAGAAGTCGTACCGTTTCTGTTCGTTGGTTTTTCCTTGTGACAGTGTGTAGTCTATAAAATTAGAATTCGACTTTTTCTGGAGTTTATATTTCGCAATTTATTAGGACACTAAATACCATGACATTCACAGACCTTAGCGATCATAACAAGGAAATATTTATTTAGTTAACCAAGTTAACAGTCACGAACATTTATCATTTTAATGTGATAGATATTTAATGTAACGCTGGGTATCCATTTTCTTCCATATTCTCACGAGCTATACCATTTTAATGCCCTTGAAGGGTAAGTGGCAACAGCTTATTATTAAGCAGTATTACGGAAACATCTCGAAAAAGTTTATTAGTATAACTAGTTATTTATCAACCATTTCTTTTTCAGCAGCCACTCTGATATAAGATATCAATAAGTGCTATCATTGAGAGAACTGTTGGAAATGAGTAGGTAGTGGACAGTTTTTAAGTTGCAGCTGTAACCAATAATATTATTCTATCATTTTCACCGTCTTCCTTATCAATACACTGCTCGTTATTTTTGAATTCTGATCTCAGTTTCGAACTGCAACTATGATAGATCAATAATACATGAGTGCAGAGCACACACTAGACCTTGAAGCATTCCATGCAATCAAAAAAAGTTTCGACTGTGTTTATGAAATTTTACAATAACACGACTTAAGAAGAAAGTGAGTTCGACAAAAATCGCCCATTTCCACTGCCGGTTAGGAACTGCTTTGTGGAAGACAGTGAAGTGATAAAAATACACAGTACCCTTCTTAAGAAAGAAGCAAATTTTGATGTGCTTAATAGTGGTGTGTAACTGGAGATAAAAAACACTTCATTCATGAAAGTCTTTATGTCTATTCCGTTGTGAAACGTGAATATACAGAATTGGTAGCTTAACGTGATGCACAGTTGGACGATTAGAGACCATTTTTAGCAAATATTACTACGGTAAAACGAATTAACTACCAATGTACACACCAACCGAAGAAATCATATACATGTGAATGTGACGAAAACCACCTGTTTTCTTGAGGAACTTTGCCAGTAACATCAAATGTGTCAGAATGCGCCAGTTGACAATATAAAAAAGTCGCGGAATCAAATGCAAGATCCAAAAGCTGAAAGGCAATTTGTGAAGTCAGTGAACTTGTACCACCATTAAGGCGTAAACGGTTGGTACTCAACCGTGAATTTCCTTCAAAATAATATTAGGCACTTCATATTAATACGGTTGCCACTGTCTAACTAACAGTCTAATTAATAGATAAGCAGGAGAACAAGTTTTTATTTAGGCCAACAATTTATGAATGTACATTCATAAATTGATGAGATAATCACGTGGGGGACTAACACAACAACTAACACAATACTTTCATATCAGATCCAAGAATTCTATTAAAAGATTTCAGTCGGATTATACTTTTACATTTATGCATATGTATGTATAAATATACCATTGCATTGACCACTGAAACTATTCATTAATTTCGCATAATGCTAGGTAAGCGATAAAAATGAAGCCTATGCCAAAAATATCCCATATCGAAATACCTTAGCAAGTGTGATCGCTAGCAGCTGGTACGTCGACCTACCGAAAACATTGCGAAACGACCTAGACAATCGAACTTACCACGATATCCAATATTCAATATCTTTCCACTGCCTCGTATTAAACCTATGACTTGTCGTTACTCAATGGCTATACTTCTTTGGCGGATTACAGTGCAGTGCATCCCCTTGTCAACGTTGTTTGGGCTAAATTCAATAAGAGGGTGTACATTAATTCGTCTTGGAGGAAATGCATAAATTGTAATAGAGTAGGGATGCCCTAAGATTCGAGAATTTCGTATAAGATTTCACCACGAGCTGATATCAGTTAGAGAACTATTGGAAAGCCTGGGAGTACTGGACAGCTGTTTCGTCCCCGTTGGGGACTATTCATCAGTACGCCCCCACCGGGGTTCAAACCCAAGACCCTCCAGTTACAAGGCAAGCTCGTAGACCATTAAGCCACTGAGACCCAACCCAGTGGCCCATGAATTTTAACTGAGTCCTGGGCTCGAAACCCAGTGGGTGTGTACTGCCAAGGATTCCCAAACTAGGATGAAACAGTCATCCAGTACTCCCGGGTTTACCAATGGTTCTCTAACCGACGTCAACTCATGATGAAATACTGTAATCGATCACTCAAGTTTCTACAAACCATTACTTGAATTTCGTATGGCTTAGCAATATCCTGGCTTGGTTCACATGCGCTTTAAAGTAAGCGGCTGCAAATCAGTGCAGAGGAAGTCCATTGGTGAGTGGACTGAAAACAAAAATGTAGGGTAAGGGAATTTGGAGTGAAACAGAAGGAGCTTACCCCCATTACGGAAAATAACATGACTAGAGATTCAACTATGGAGATGACAATGAAGATTTTAATAATATACCGAATTATGTGAAGATATGTAGTGTTTGTAGCACCACTACAGAACCCAAGAAATATGTATAGGAGAATCTACTCCCAATCTGAAGTCGTTGACCGATGGGGCGCTTACCACATAGAGAAGTGGTGAATGACCCAGACGGAAAATCTAGAAAGAAAGAGAGTCAGTTACTACCTTTGCTGCTGCTTTTTTATGGACACTTCTGAAAGTGTCACCCTTTAGGTAATATCTAGCGTCGGTTGCACTGGGCTTCGCTCTATTTTGTATGGTATGATGGGGTCGCACCTGTTTATGTTCTAGGAAACCAATTAGTTGGGTTTATTGCAGAGACTCGAGATCACTTCCGTTTGGTTTCGAAACTGCTAGACCTCAGCTATGGCCACACTGCAGGGCCCACCTTACCTGTTGGCCAGACTACCCTTAACACCACAGCAGCCAGCGAAGGGAGTAGACAACGCTTGGACCTGTTGAAGAATGCATTTCTTGACAATGATTTGAAGAGAGTGTACAATTAGATAATCACAACACAGTGAAGCTGTAGAAGTTTTAAGCTTGAAAATTATATTGACAACATGTGTTTCAATCTGCACGGATAAAAAAATTGATCGATGACGGTAGAACGGTTGAGGTTCAGTTTAGTCAGTGAACTTCGTTAATCCATGAAAATGTCATATTCGTTGTGAACATCAAAAGGATGATAGATTTCCTAAGTGAATCCCGAAATGTACTCGGAATGATGCAGAAATCGCTTTTGATGGATGGTATTTTGGTTGACGTTCGAGGTAATCTGGCAAAAGAAAATATTAAACGGCTTATGCACCTTGCGGAAAGCGGTGCATGCTGCCACTGTCAGTGCCATATCCGGAATATGAAGGTGAAAGGTCACCAACCTGGTTTTGGATTATTTGGATGTTGTCGAATGCCCAAGAACTTTCGGGGATCCTTCTTTCAGTGACTGTGATAAGAATTGAAGTATTTTAATATTAGTTTCTTAATTCATTATAAAGACAGCCGCCTTATTATCTAGTCGCCTTGGGGTAACAGTTGTTTTTACCCTTGCCCTTCAGATATACACATTATAATTAAACAATTACAACGAAAGAACTATATTCTATAAATGCCGTCATAAACTTATCCTTATTATCCTTATTGCACTGATCGTCTCAATTGAGTGACTTTATTTCATATCCCCACTAATTGCAGCATTGTGATCCGTTGTTTTTTTGGTTTAGTGACAAGTTATACTTTTTATATGCTTTTTAAATGAAATGTTCCAATAAGGAACTCTTCTGATGTGCATAATATCGGCGGCATAATGTGCTTAAAATAAAAAAATTTAGGTTTTGTTTACATTACAACAAAATTGGGACAGTCTCTCATCCACTGAGCCGCGCAAATACTTGCAAGATAAAGCAGGTAGCACCACTTTAGAAAAGGGATATGCCACATCATCGCCTATTTCGCCTGGTCCCTATAAATGTGGGGTAAGCCTCCCTCAAAACTGAACACAGTCACAGATCTCGGCATAACATACTCAGATTTAACCTTTTCCGATCAATCGAATAAAGCAATATCTGACTGTAAACAACTTACTGGCTTTGTACTGAGTAACTTTTATACTCAAGATACAAGACTAGCTATATGTAAGACATAGATTTTTTCACAAACGTGAATATTGTGCTCTCCTATTTAGTAACCTAAGGTCTTCGGACCAAATTCGTGCACAATTCGTTTTTCCTAATAAACATTCCTTCGGCCTCATCGGTCTTTCCTTCTTTACCGTAGAAATTTTAGTGAAAAGAACCTTAGTTTTCTTCCAAAAAATCAATGATACAATATTTCCTAAATATTTCAACCGACCAGCTGGACAGTTACACAACACACTCACACGATCAGCTCCAAACAAGTGTCCAGAGATTCCTTGTGAAACTCATAATAGGGTTTGGCCAACAAGTGGAATATGCTGACAGGTGGACACGACTGAAGTTAGAACCCCTATGGTTAAGGAGAGTGAAGTGTAGCTTATTTATGCTCTTCAAAGTTATCTGGGAACATTGGTACAGTAACTCATCCATAACGCTGACAAATATCAAATCATATCTGCTGCGAAACCAAGACTACGTTTTCAATGTGGATACCCACAGAAAAACCACTAGGGCATATTTTTCACATTTAAATACTGCGCACTTTGGAGCCAACTACCACTTGAAATTAGATCTTGTAAAATCCCCGATGATTCCAAACGGAGTGTAGAAAGACACATTAACATATACACTTTAGCTCGTCTAAAAGTCCACAATAGTCTTCAGTGTAGTCAGTTACATATAACTCAACTCTACTACTTACACAGCGAACACTTAACTAATTGACTGATTTTCTATTCTCTATAATCTTCAATAAGATATGCTAGTATAATTAATTCTAGAAACAATTTTGTTAGCAACCATATCTTTTAATATTTTACAAATATATATAATTATTAATACACTGCTATTTTTGTGTTGAAATGACTACATTCACTCAATGACTATCTTTTCTTATATACTTTTCTAAAGCGTATGATTTTATCAGACTTTTTATTTCTTTTTATCCAATAAACATAAGTTGAGGGGTTACTTTGCAGTTTCTAACGCAAACCAAATGAAAACCAGTCATAAAAATTTAGCATAGAAAGTTCTGTTAACCAGCTGTTTTCCTTAGGATTATTCTGCATAACTTCATCGCTAATCATTCCACTACCCACTTAACTCTGCTAAATAGACTATAACTCAGCTGCTGTAATACTAGCTAATTCTATACTTTATACTTCTTAAAGTTGTTTGTAACAAATACTTGTATGTATGTATAAAGGTGATACTGCTAAGAATGTCCTCAGATATCGATGTATCTGGTGACCTAAAGCGAAGCGCTCGTCATGAAAACTGGTAATGTGCAGCATACTGAATGATCCGGACGAGCTCAAAGCAGTGTAATGCTACAACTGCAGTTACTGCAAAATATATGACGTCAAAAAAGGAGGGACGGTGGTGCATGCGGATCAGCAAATATGGTCAAAAATGTGAATCATACCAAACTTCGAGATAGCAACATGCACTTTTGGCAGCTCTTGAGTTAAACATGAGTCTAGATACTTAAAAAAAATAAGGACTGTTCAGATCTAAATTTTCAGAAACATGCTTTTGCTCCTAACATCTACAAGCCTGTTCAGCTTCTTGTCGAGATGATACCACATGGGAATGCAGAAATTCTCGAGACATCCTACAGTTCAGTATATCCCGCAGGTTCTGACCTTTCAGGACCGTAGGATAGCTTTTCACTGAAATATCACTTACTTACTTCACGATAACCTTTTTATTTACACACTATTATACTGTATTTTATCTCGACTCCCTAGGCCTTTATTAAAGCTAAAACTTACTCCTTATTCATATTTGTTGCTTGCTCAAAGTCTGGTTGCCCTGATGGTAAAAACACAACAACACCATGGTGCAATGTCTAACCGAAGCTGTATTTTCATCGAAAACATCAGCTTCAATGGTAAGACCAATGTGGTTAGCATTAAACACGTAAATGTATGCTAACATTCCAAGGACTCTCTAGCTCCTCGTATTTATCTTACAGATGTACTGTGAATGATGTATTATTCATAATTGTGTTGTGGTGAGAGCTGGCTGCTGGCCAAAGTTGGTAGACAGTAATTGACGTCAATGTTTATGTCCCCAACATTGGTGGTGTGAAAATGGGAACAAAGGTTTTGCGTAGGCGGATGCAGTTGGCATATGGATGATCTGACACAGCCACAAAGAGATGGAAGGTTTTATTTTATTTTTTTATTTTGATTTACAGCTTGATTCCACACCGTATTTTCAGTACAAGTATGGAATTTTCAGCATGGATATCGGTAGCCCAAATTCAGGCCGACCATAGATATCGGGTGTGCGCCGGCAGGGGATCGAACCCCGGACCATGTGCATGGTCGGCGAGAGTTCTAACCACTGTGCCACCGACGCACAGGTTAACTTTCTGTGAGAAACAACCAATCAAAAGACTGCTTTTTCTACTAACAATAATGTATATTAAAATCTATAAATAAGTGTTAATTTTTCTTAACAAACGATCTGTTGCCTGACCCTTGTCTTCTGTTGTTACAGTGTTTTATACCATTTTGCT